TACATTTCTGTACTTACATGTATATACAGAAGAATAACAATTTTTCAATCAGAATTTGCTATTTTACTCAAATGATTTCCCGGTAATGTACTCATGGCATGCAAACTTGATTTCTCTCTTTTCATCAATGACTTTAACCCTCCCTTTAAAATTTGTCATGCAATACATTCCATTTCTCTCACCCATATCTCAACACATACATACATGTATGTAATGTGCTCATGCATGGCAACATACGTGCAGACACTAAGCAAAATCATTCGGGTAAAAATCAATTTTGCTTGCCCTAGGACGTGGGTTTAATATATACAAGACGTCTCCGGCTATGAGGATCAAATTTGCACGTAAAGCCCCATTTACACTGCAGAAGAACCAATTTAATAAAACATTGTTTTTTTAACTATCTTTTACAATATTGGAAAGAAAAAGTCAAAATATACCATTGGTGTTTACTAATTTCTGTTTTTTGGTGATTTGTGGGCAGGCGCGACTGTTCACCGCTCTGCACCCGACGACGCAAAACAGAAGAAGAATCACATGAGCAAAAAAAAACAAATAAATTACTGGTGTTTTGAGAGCGAGCATTTACACTGCAAAAATCAGCTGAATTTTGATCAAGAGTTTTAAAAAAGGTGTTTTGAGAGTGAGCATTTACACTGCAAAATTCAGCTGAATTTTGATCAGAGTTTTAAAAAAGGTGTTTTGAGAGTGAGCATTTACACTGCAAAAATCCGCTGAATTTTGATCAGAGTTTTAAAAAAGGTGTTTTGAGAGTGAGCATTTACACTGCAAAAATCCGCTGAATTTTGATCAGAGTTTTAAAAAAGGTGTTTTGAGAGTGAGCATTTACACTGCAAAAAATCAGCAGATGTTTAAAAAACCTCACTCTGAAGGTGGGCTTTTCGATACAGATTTTTGTCATGTTTCTGGGTAGTTGCCTCAGCAACATTAGATAAAACTGGATTGTTAGGAAAAAAAATGATAGTTTTTGTTTGCAGTGTGAATGCCCCTTATGCCATCACATTCTCTACCGAGGGGGGTATGTTTATGAAATCACATGCCAAGAAGTGTCCCATATGCTAAATAAATGAGTTGGAGGTGAAAGAAGTAAAACATTCCCATGTTTTCTCGCCTCGTCACCGCCATGCAAGAATGTATTTTCATGGTGTGGGTAGATATGTTTTTAACATGTTCTTGGGTTGTTGTTTAGTGATGGGGGGCAATTGGGGAGATTGCGAGCTGGAAACCCTCATTGGCAAGCAATGAAGAGTATCACCATATCGCCATAAATATTGATTAGGTTTATATAGGAATAAACGAGAACTTGGTTCAGTTGAAACCTTTTTTCGTATTATTGTCATAAAACACTTCACTTTAGGGTAAAATTTCATGAAACAGTGGTTCTATCTAGGTACAAATGTTTCATTCATTTCTTGTATTTTCTTTCGAGTCTCTAAATATTGCATAAACAATCTTGTATTTTGGTGTAGCTCTTGTTTAATAAGCAAAACTTTGTTTTCTTTCCCCATTGATGGCTTGAGACTTTTCTTAAAAATTGTACTAGGCCTGAACTTTACTAACCAGGGAGGTGACATCAACAATGCCTTCTGCAGACATGTACATTTTGTGCAAAAAGCTAAATTTTGTTATATTTCCCCATTGATAGCTTGTTGAGACATTTCTTTTAAATTTTACTGAGGCTTGATGATCTTTACTAGCCATCCACCCCCCCCCCCCCCAACATAAGAGACTGCACTATTGACCTTCAACTTATTGATTTTTGTCCTGCGATCACACCAATCTATCACCTGACGTACCAATCTATCACCCGGGACAAGGAGTGGGAGAGGTGCATGTAGTGGGCCTCCTTGATGGAATGTGAGTCAATAACTAAACCAACAAGCATCCTAGCTCATAATAAACCCATATCTTCCATCTCGAGAGGTGTTTTCGTGGGCAATGACATGGGCATCCGTTCAGACTATCGAAATTCATCGCATGGATGTAGGGAAAGTGTACACGAAAAGGAATCAATATTTTCTAGTGTGAATGATGTAATGTATAGTAATGTAAGCATCGAATAACAAATCATAAAGCGAAATATGGTTGAGCATCATTTGAAATGAAAAACTCAATTAAGAATCAGAGTTCTTTCTCACCTGAAAGTGGCATTGTACAACAAAAACTGTATAACTGGAAGGTACTTATAAAGCATGCACTAATGATTGGCCAGCTGATATGTCCACTTACCTCTTCAAAACAAGTTTCTTTATACAGCGTCTTTCTTGATATGATGCTGTAATCCATCGTGTAAGCCCTTTTCACAATATAATAATTATATTTATGAGTTCTGTATAAGTTTTCTCTAGTGTCAAATGACCTCTTCATAACAAGTTTCTTTGTACAGTATTTCTTGATTTGATGCTGTAATCCAATCCCTTTCACACTACCGGTATACAATAATTCTCTTTATGAGTTCCGTATAGATGTCCTCTAGTATGAATGAGCTAAAAAGCCATGTAATTGGGAGGTGGGTGATGGATGTGGTCGTTAGGAGCTAGTGTGTGTACTCTGAGGATGTAATGATGCACTCTAGTCTTCGTCTGGAAACCCGGGAGTGCTTACTTCCATCCAACATGCCATGGGATGCCATGCATGTCATGACAACTGTGATTGTTATGGCTGTGGCAGCCTGTAAATGCACTCAGAGGTATATCATGCTTATCAATAGGTATGTCCTCATCAGCTCGAGATTGCCAAATAGCCCGCTATTTCTGATTTGGGAAATAATCCCGAAATAATCTTCGCACCGGACAAATAGCGGGATATTTGCAAACTAGCCCAAGATATCTTGGGAAGATTATCTCAACCAAATATCCCACTAATTGCAACTTTGGGCTGATGAAGACGCCAATAAACTGGATAAATTGCGATCGGGATAGTTAAAGTAGCAGGATATTTGGCAATCTCAAGCTGATGAAGACAGGCCTAATGAATCTCATGATTAATTGTATGTGCTTCTATATTGCTGTGCTCGATAATAGGTACTTCATGAACAAATAGTTAAAAACAGGTTCTTTGCTTATTGGTTTGGTGCACATGGGACCCCATTTGTAATGTGTGGATCCCTACAAATGTCTCATTATAAACATGGGGCCTACATGTATATATATAAAAACCCTAAGGAGTCCTTATCCCCCATGAAAAAAAGAGTTGCTATAGAGCCCTGGTTCTAAAAATTCAGCAGGAGGGGATAGCTTTTACAGAGAATTTGGACAACTATAATTACTGTTCAGCCATCAGTCAACAGCTTCTCATAATATTTCTGTAAAATCAGAAGTTTTAAGATATATGACAAAAATTCAGTGTTGTGATACAGTGGTTTTCCCCAGCATGAAACCTTCATGAATCTTTGCCAGTCAAACCCGTGTCCACACACAACATTTTCTGTGATAAGGCGTGATTAGTTTTACCGTTTCGGGATAGTTATACAATGAAATTGTGTGTGTGGACGCTTAATACTTTAAACGATACGTCGTATAACGAAACGCAGGTTTGGGCATCGTTTCGAACTACAAGTCAATAAAGAATCACGCCTAATCACGCCTAATCACGGAATGTGTTGTGTGTGGACGTAACTAGTATAACTAGTTGAACTAGAGCGGTATAACTGGGTGGGCTTAACGTGACCTCGACCAAAAGGAGACCTGACCTCTCATTTCCGCTTCCATTTCATGACCGCAGTAGCAAACTGCACAACTATACTAGGTTTCGCTGTAGAGTTTCAGAATTACTTTCTTGTGTGTGGACACCCTGGAATTTATACAATGATTCTTTATACAAGGTTTCGTTATAGAGTTTCGGGATAAATTGTTTTGAGTGTGGACAGGCTGAAAATGTCCCAGGCTTGATGGCTCAGTGGCAGAGTAGTGGTGTCATAATTGGAAGGTCAAGTGTTTGCAATTAAAGTAGATGTAATAACTCATGGATGTACGTGTACTAGCGCCCTTTGGTAAAGTGCAATTCCTCATTACCAAGTCCCTCAAATACAACGCAGAAGGTCCCCAGGGTCTCGTTCCTACAAGCATGCTTTCACGCAGTCAGATAAAATGAATCGTCACTCATGATAATTCTTAAAGTATCTTGAACAAAAAAAAATCTAGTTCTAAATTAGAAGTCAATAACAAGCCTGTTCTACACATTGATTCCAGCACTGTGATGAGCTAAGATTTGTTTTTGCTCTCCTTTAATTTTATTATTATTTTTTTTTTTTAAACTCTTCCTGTAAATACCCTTATTTGGTTTTATGGGCAGTAATGTATTATGAAACGCATACATGGCTGGAGGATACGTATAGTACATAGCTTGCCATATTTGTACAACAGCAAATGGATCTTATTTATAGAGGGAATGGAATCATCATGACAGGAAGCTTAATTGGCACAAGGGCAGAAAGAGTTCATTGAATAATTGTGATTATAGACGCGAGACAAGTAAAACATAATATTTCCTTCCCTTCTCTTCTTCATCGCTGTCTCTCTCTTTCTCTTTCTCTTTCTACATGATCCCCTTATGAATGTCACATAAACACGCTATGCTGGAATGTCAACAATCAAATTACAGACATGCAAGTGAATGCACTGATGGCGGCTTCATCATTGCTATTGATATGAACTAAATCTGAGTTGAAATGTACAGCATAAATGAGATTATCCTGTGACAAAACCAATCAAATGTCAGATCTGCAAGGTCTTCTTCGAAATGTATGATCATATTTGATAGTCGTATAGCATTTTGATAAGAAGTCTCATCTACATGATTCTTTTGATTTCTAGCATTCATAGTTGTAGACGGGTGGTCACTAAAGCAGGTTTGACTGTATAACATAAAGCCTTCTGTACATACATTTGAGGTTGTATGTAGTTCATATCTATACATCTGACATGTTGTACAGTGAGCCTAATCCAGAAACCCCCATCTCTTTATTCTTTCTTCCCCAGCATGCACCGGGAGTACCCAAGATCCTCGTGGGTAACCGTCTCCATCTTGCCTTCAAGCGTCAGGTGAGCGGAGAGGAGGCCCAGGACTACGCCATCAGGAACGAGATGGCCTACTTCGAGGTCAGCCCGCTCTGCGACTTCAACGTGACAGAGTCGCTGACGGAACTGTCGCGTCTGGTGCTTAAACGCAACGGCATGGAGAGGTTATGGAGAACAAATAAAGGTGAGTGTAGAATTAATATCCCTAATGTCTCTTAATTTTTTGATGTAAGACATGCTGAATTTTTGAATAGGTATATTGTTACGACTCCTGTCAAATAGTTACACATTTATTTTTTAATTAATAGATGTTTAATAGCTGTCCATACTTTAAAAGAAATTAGGATCACATTGAATTTCATAAGTATTTAGATACTTGTCTTTAGGGAGATGTTTATTATTGCAAAATCAACAAAAGATTTTCATCTTGCACATATCAGATGTCAATTCGGTCCATTCTAACATTTACCCTCATAAGATGATATGCTGAAGTATGTTGTTAGTAAAAGCTACATTTCTCAAGTGCATGGTTTGTTTAACTTTTCATTAATGAATACTGATGATACAGGGAAATTAATGTGCTGTACATGTATGTTCACCTACTTACATATACAGTCAAACCTGTCTATAGTGACCGCTCAAGGGAAACACAAAAATTGGTCTTTGTAGACAGGTTACTTCAGGGCATGTTTCAATGAGAAACCATTTTTCAAGGGAAACAAAAAATGTGGTCTTTGTAGACAGGTGGTAACTTAAGCAGGTTTGACTGTATTACATTTTGGAATTTCGATGGCAAATTTAAATTGTGTCGCCCCAAGGCTGTCAGGAATACCCATTCATGATTTTAATACCCCCATTTCCTGTTCTTGTTTTCCTCTCGTACACAGTGCTAAGCCTCCAGGACTTCTGCTGCCGGACCATCGTGAACTGTACCTCCACCTACTCCATCGACAAACTGCCCATCCCGATGTCGCTGCGCTCGCGGCTCAAGTCCTTCGCCGACGCCAACCACATGCACAGATACATGCTGCCCCCGCTGGACATCCGCTCCAAGAAGCGCCGGACGATACTCAACGCTCAGGACCCGCCGTATTCAGCGCGAAAGAGTTGCATAGTGTCATGACAACGGGGATGCCAGTGGCTACGCCGAATCGGTGCCGAGTGCCGCTGGACAAAATGAACGTTTTTATGGAAACGATATACTTCCTGTGGTAGCGGGGAAGAGCGCCATCCAGTTTTATATACTCACTGCAATATTCTATGAGTAATCCTATTCCTACATTTTGCCACTGGAATTTATCCTTGCATTTTTGTATTAGCTTTTATAGAATTGTGTGTTCGATAAAAACCATGAGAATAACCATGGTGAATTTGTGTTTGTATTTGGTCTACCACATACCATAAAGGGTAGAGCATTTTTTGTTACGCTAGGGCAGTTTATTATAGTATGATAATTCTTTACCCGTTCCCATTTTCTTCTTATTCTAGACTAATGCTTTTTTGTGTGTTTGTTCCTTGTTTCTGAAAATTCTCTCGACAATCATTCAATAAACATTTTTACTAATTTCATACACACTTTTTGAACAAAATTTTGTCTTGACATCTATAAAGCTTTTATGCTTTCCTGACATAGCAACAGATAATGTACATGTATGCAATGTGGATTCCATCCATACAAATGCCATTTTTCATAGCAGGCGAATGAAATTGCCTGTAAATAGGGGTTAGGGAGAGGAATACAATAGTAAACGGATCAATTTGTCAGTGTTTCGTTTATGAATCGACAAATCTGTCATAAAAACATAAATGTACAAATTCATTGGTTCATAATATCGACGGCAAATTATGCTAACCACCATTTTGTATTTACGTTATCATTGGCTCTCTGAACCCAGCAGTATCTTCATGTTTGTACTGAAGAAGGAAGATGCACTTCAGGTTAACATAAATGAAAAGCCAAGATGAGATGTATAAACACAGCTTTGAGGTAATGATTTCAAGTCATATACACTGATTATCATGGTGAAATTCCTATATATGGTGTTATTGGTCAATAGCACTTTCAAGGTCACAAGTTCATAACTGTGCGACTTACTACCCTTCTCAATTTAAAAAAAAATCTCAAACATATACTTATCATTTAATTCAATCAGCCATTCCTCAATATTGCATTTCCCCTAAAATGTATTAACAATTGAATTTCTAATAATTCAGTGAATCATAAGATATCATAACCCCAGTTATTTTGTATTTATTACCAGTCATCATTGTATACCAAAGTCATAACATAATGTAGAACATGATATTGACTGTGTATTGTTTTGAAGTGGTATCCCACATCCGCTAGCGCAAATCGTATAGGTGGTTAATGAATGCGTCGTTCAGTTTATTTTGTCGTTTCTACTTTTATGCAGAAATATGCAAACAAAATTGACAGGGTTCTATGTAGATGTGATGACTTTTTGTAGACATTGCATTTTTTTTTACATCGGATATTGTACTGTTGTTAGATGTGGCCTGTTTATTATTCTATTCCAGCTCATGGCGTTGGAAGCTTGTCCCACAAATGTTATAAGAAACTAAAAACTCTTCATCATTTTTCTCTTCTACGTCTTGCCCTTATTCCTTATTCCACACTTAAGTATCTTCTTGTTCTGTTTTCTTTTGATAAAGGCTGTCATATTGTGTTATAAACAAATTTCACTTGTGAATACTTCACTCATGTGGAAACCTGAAGAGAACATCAATTACAAAACTATTAAAATCTTATTTCCTAGTGTTTTTATGCATTTATCATCACAAACATTAGTCCATTGCTTTTTGTAAGGTCTACCATAATCTCACCTCATGATTTCAGCTATGATAGCAGAATCTGTACCAAAGTAAGAGCTATTACAGCTGTAATAAATAAATCCATCCCTTCTCTGGTAAAAGACTTTAGTGAAAGATTTCTGGAAAGTAGTAATATAACTCTGAAAATTTTACCTATAAGTATGTCCCAAAGAAGAGTGCTGAACCTTCATTCACAAAACATTCTTGTTCTTGATGACGAACAGATCGTTTTCTAGATTTTCACTACCCAATAGAAAATAGTTATATGCATTGTATTAATTTGTCATCTAGCCATTTGTATGTTTGAATGAAATATCACCTAATGAGTTTGTATTCATGTAATTACTTCTGCCATTATGTGATCGTGTTTTTTCTTTTTCTTCTTCCGTTTTGAAGATGGCTTCGGCTGTCAATACCACTACCTCTTTTCATATGAAATGATTTGATAGACATGGAAAGAGAGGTGCAGTTATTACTGATTGTGAAATAGTAATGTCATTTGTATAATTACAGAATTGAAAGATTATCAGGATTACTTTTGGACTAATCAATGGAGCTAGCAAAAGATTGTCCAGAATCATAAGCCTTATCTTTTAGAAAAATGAGAAATTATTGTGGGCCATACCATTAAAGATCTTGTGTCACCACTAATTAGATTGATCTTGAATATGTGGTGTATGAAAGAAGTACTGAGCTCACATTTCACTGTTGAGGTACCATTTCATTTGGGTAGGTTATTCTAAAAAGATAACAAGAAAGATATATTTTGGCCATCAGGAATCAGGATTTGGATGAAAATGGTTTTGGTCTTGGTCTTGGGAATTATAGATGTACCTAAAACAAAGAGACAACATCGAATCCATGATCCGGGCCTGTTTTGTAAAAAATGGTTATCAATCACAAGTTAGAAAGCCTGTTATAAGCTACCAAAATCATTACATTTGATTTGCTTGGAGCAAACGTGTCATAGACTTTGTTTAGCACTTGTTATTGATAAGACGTTTGAGGAAACAGGGCCCTGGACCAACACTGGTTTCAATGACATTTTATATCTTCTCTGTCAGATCAATCTGGGCCCCATTTCACAAAACTTGTCATCAGTGACAAATGACAAGTTTAGTTATAAGCTACTGAAATCCTTGCTTCTGATTGGTTATCAGCCGATTTCTGTCATTTCTCATTAAAAAAAGGCTTTGTGAAACAGGTCCCAGATGTACATTTGTAAACTACATTTATAAAATGCATTTATTTTTCATTTATGATCACAGTTTGTACAAGGGTGTCATTCATTCATTCTCATAGCCTTTTTCTGTGTTTCACTATTGATATATGTTCTACAATTATATAACAAAAAAATGTGATGCAAATGTAAACAAAGCCAAGTTCTGTTTTGAGTTTGTCATATTGGTTCACGTGAGAATAAGGGTTGTGTCTTTTGATCTATTCTGTTGCCAATTCGTTGCCACTCTTTGTAAATATAAAAATATATGTCATTCTTTTATTGTGGTATGTGCTTCGTAGTATGTGTGGTCAAAACCATTCCTGGTTGAATGCTTGAAATGTCTGATTCTTGTGGAAAAAAATCAGTGCAATCCATTCTGAATAGTTATCTTACAAAATAGTTACAAGATATTGGTGTGAAAGGCCCGATAGTCCTGTTGTGACTCAAGAAGCAAACTCTCACTATGAAAATGACGGAAAAAGAAATCGGACAAAATATACAGTTCCTCAGGTAGACAAAGGAACATCCCTTCACTGCTATTATGTAAAAATGTATAGAACAGGTGAATATGCATGTGACACCTGTTCTACACATTTTTACATAATAGCAGTGAAGGGATGTTCCTTTGTCTACCTCAGGAACTGTATATTTTGTCCGCTTTCTTTGTCCGTTATATTCATAGTGTCTTTGGGTTGTTTTTATCAAGGTGTAAAAAACTTTTTTTGAGTTCACTGATACATGAAGCACCAAATGCAGAGCTCTTTAATCTGTGCAAATTTCGTTAAATCTGGAATAGAATGATTAAAGGACCTTGGTCCAGTCATGAAGCGAGAAATCAATTTCATAATGACATGATTTCTACAAGATATTTTTGACAGAAAAGTGGCAATCTTTGTGAGATGAAGACGCTGACACTTTAAAAACGCTCTTTTAATCAGTGGGCTTTAAGTCGAGGATTAAACTGGACTAATGATTGTATGCTTTTATTAGTAATGGCCTATCCAACCCAACATTGAAATCCATAGGACTGGGGGCAATTTTACCCAGAGCTACTGAAATAGCCTTTATACCCTTACATGGCCCCCTGAAAATGTAATTCTTAAGGGAATTACTATTTAAAGAGTTGTTGACAATTTGAAAAGAGCCTCAGATTTTTAAAAGGGCTTTTCCACTCTATAAATAAATGTATTAATCAATTGAGAGGTCTGTGTTCATTTTGAACTATAATAATAAATCAAAATCTTACTGGTTTTCCAAGAATGGTGGTTTTTGAAGAATAGTTTCTTGTGCCAAATGCATATTGGCAGTAAGATGGCTTCAGGATGTTAAGATACAGTGAAACCTGTCTATAGAGACCACCCAGGGAGACAAGAAAAGTGATCTTTATTGGCATGTAGTCTTATGTACAGGTTCCTGTAGTACATGTTTCAATGAGAAACCATTTTCAAGGGAAACAAAAAAACAGGTTTGACTGTATCACTGTTTTCTATTTTACAACCCAATGTCAATGTGGTAAGAATCAGTCACTTGAAATATGACAGTTTTTTATGAGCTAGCCTCTGTCTTGTGTCTTCATATGTGATTTTACCAGTAGGTTCATTCCATCTACCTTACCCATAAGGCATCCATGCATGCAACCTTTTATCCATACATTCTCCCTGTTCAAATCGTGAGTTTGTTATAAGTTGATTGTATATCCTAAACAAATATATGTAGTTAATTCCCCTCTCCTCTAACAGGTGAAATTATTATGGATCAATTTTTCCCACAGGAATAGCATAGATACCACCGTTTCAATTGCAGCATATAATCACTTTATTCAGGTGTTCTGTAGGTGTTCAAACATAGATTATGATTCCAATTTTGAACTAGAGTGTGGTAATCCTTGCATTCATGTTACTGCTTATTTGCTATGCAGACGTTGGTGTTTGTTTATCAGTTGTTTGTTTTTGCTGGTGTTGTGTTTTTGCCGGTGTTTTTTTCTGTAAGTAAATTGGCCAAATATTTTGTATGATAATGAGTATATAGTTTGTACATAATGTGAATATTTAAAAAAATATGAAAAACTGTTGGAATAAAAAAGAAGAAGAAAAGGTACATGGTTTCATTTTCTGAGAAGTGCATTATGGTTATCAGTAGAGAGAGTGAGGAGCGTGAAGATATGTAGTTTTGGGGTAAAGAAGTCTGGAGAGAAGCAAGAGTGGGAATGATGACATGCAACAATTATTGTGAGGACTGAGGAGGGGAGGATGATAGAAAGAGAAGTCTCAATGAAAAGAGATGTGAGAGACTAGGAGAGAGGGGAAAAGGGAGGGAGAGGGAAAGAGAGAGAGAGGGGGTGGGAGGAAGACAGCAAGAGATAGAGGGTGGGAGAGAGAGAGGGGTGGGAGGGAGGGAGAGAGAGAGAGGGTGGATGGGATATAGCGAGAGAGAGAGAAAGATGGGAGGGAGAGAGCAAGAGAGAGAGGGGTGGGAGGGAGATAGAGAGAGAGAGAGAGAGAGAGAGAGGGGGGGGGGTGGTGAAGAGGTTGAGTTGAGAGAAATGGGAAGTGGGATGAAGAAAATTGGAGAGAGATGGAGACAGACAGCCAGAGATTTTGTTTCAAAGACAGTAGGGAGTGTGCCCGCAGATGATGTGATAAACCGTTTTTATGTCCGTGTTTGGGTAAACTTTGGGATAAAGAAGGGTAATTGGTGATTATCAAGTGCATTTTTTCTTCCTGAACTAGAAATAAAGAATCTAAGAATGTCTTACATTATTCAGATTCTGGAAGCTAGTCTTTCTGATTTTAACGATTCTCTAACTTACAAAACATTAAGATATTATACTAAATATTTCAATTTTGCTCTCAAATCGCAAGATTTATGTCAACAAAATGGATTCAGATCACAATCATGATCTTGAAAATGATCTCTCATATCGAGTTACAAATGTAATCAAACATAATTGACCACTTATAGATATTTTATGGAGCCTGTAGGTTCTCTACAGTGCTCTCCATGTTTATACTTCCTTCCTACGATGTAGTGCCCTCTTAATCTTGATTCAATATTGTGATATTTTATTCTACATCGAATTCTTTTCATAGCACAAAGCGGGTAGATTGCACTTGTACTACTTGTCTAGTCTTTGTTTACTTCCGGGGATTACGTCAGCCTCCACTTTGGGAACTTCTTATCACGTGATCATCACACTTCGTGTTTCTGATGTGGCGACAACGTCGGAGGATTCTGCGACGAAATACACGAAAAATGGTGGTATTTTCACATCCTATCCCATATTTTCCAACTTAGATGAAAAGGAGCAAGCATAAGACATGTTCAGGGTTCTTCAGAATCTACCACAAAGTAAGTTACAAAGCGTAAGACATACATAATTGTTTACATACAAATTACAGGTACCGGGCCGGTGCGGATGCGGTGCGGTGATGTGTCGTGTCGAATGATACGGTATATGATGTGTGATCTTGCGCTGTGTGATGCGATGTGGGCGTGTGTTTCTGTTTGTTGAAATGTACCCTTGCAATTGATATCAAGTTTCTCAAAATTTAACTGTAAATGTCAACATTAATGAGAACAAAGGTGCTTGTATGATGTATTCATCAGATAGCAGTTGCAATTGCAATAAAATAAATGTATATTTAATTGTCAATGTGAATTGGTATTTGTATTGTAGATGAGCTTGCATGATAATTGATTTGATGAGTGTAATTTTGTAAACAAACTTACCATTTACACTTAAGATTTAAATAAATAAGTCTAAATATTGTTGAATAAATCTTCTCAGAAGTTAGATTGATAAATTACTTGCCCAAGTTAGGCCATTTAAGTAAGAAATTTAGGTATAATAATTGAGGTGTTCAGACTGTGTTAACCTTTTACAGGCTTAGACCTAATTTAACTTTAAGTTTAGCATGGAGTTGTTAATATTTTATTCAAGTGGGGTTTAGACTTGGTGATTGAGGCAAAGTTAAAAATGATTCCTTCAATTTCCTTGTGTGTTATTATTAATTTCTCCAAAGATTTGTTTGAGAGCTCATTATAGAAAATAAAGTTCACACAAGTTTGATTTTGTTATGTGTTTTTTCATCACTCAGGATTGTTCAAGTCTCACCATGGGCATAGTGGAGTCTACTGGGCCAATAGAGGGCAGCCTGTGGCTGAATCTCAACGCAGGAAGTATCAGGATAACATCATCGTGGTCTCTTATCCAAGTCATGACCTAGATGCAAGGTACATTACAGATAACAAATTTGTAAATTTAAATTTGGCAGTTTTGAAGAAAAATATATAAATTCTCCAAGAAATAAGGCTTTTGATTCATTTTACTTACTAATATAAAAAGGTTTCTCTGGACTCTCCCAATATGTTCTGACACCTGTAGGTAACACAGGCTACATGCATGTAAAAATAATGATATTTTCTGCCATCTGCCATGTATTATATCCCTATGCTAACTTGAACAAAAACAAATTGGCATTTGATGTAGTAGTGTGAGAATTTAGGGCAGCCATTCTCTCATAATTTTTATTGATAAATTATCTTTTGATAAATTATGATGAAACTGGAATTGATCCAGGGAAAAATCTTAATTGTCAACACAGCATATATGGACACACAACATGTAGTAAAAACTATTTAGTCTAATTATTAAATATCCTTTTTGCTACTTGTACTATTATCAACATCATGAAGGTAAAGTAAAGAAACAATTGATATGTTGTTATTGTCTTATCATTTATGGTAGAAATTCATTTAATGCTTGAGAAATTTTTCCTGGTAGCTTGGTTTAAGCCCGAGTAATGATATGATTGCAGGGCCCTCAGGGAGAACAGTATGAATACTGATGAGGCTGCCCAGGGTAAACAAGAAATGTTATTATTATTATTATTATTATTATCCTTTCCATCTAGCCTTCACACAAGCAGCCGCCTTGAGAAGGTTGGACACCAGGGGAGCTCTGATGAAGAATGGAAGAGGAGCTTCAAGCAGCGGATAGAATGGGACTCCTTCCGAAGGTCTAGCTATGCCTCAGAAGCTCTCGGATGGGTAGGTTCCTTTTTACTTTTTCAGCCATTGTTGATCCACTGCAGGATGAAGGCCTCAGCATGATGTCTCCAAATGTCTCTGTTTAGTGCTTGTTGGTACCAATCAACCTTTACGCAGTACTGCTGTAGCTCATCTCTCCATCTTTTTCTTTGGCGTCCCCTGTTATGTTTTCACTCATATGGTGTCCAGTGAGTCCCTTTTTACCAGTTCACAAATGTATAAAAATGCGATGCATGCTGTTTCTACTACAATAGTAACTATTGCATACCCTCAAGGGCTGGGCACATACCACCAATCAAAAAAAATATAACTTGAACAATAGTCAATATAGAAAAGACATCAAGTCCAAGAAAATCTGTGCTGAAGGCTTATGAGAATGAAAATTCTATTCCTTGTTATGAAAAGTGTTGAATTATGACAAAGAAGAAAAAAACATGTTTCGGTACTAGATTTCATGAGTAAGCTATCAATAAGAGACCATGACTTGGTTAAGATGGAAAGAGTGAAATAATTTTAAAGGAAGCATAGCAAAACTAGACTTGAGAATGCTCATTCTCGTTTTTGAATAAAATGGTCAAAATTACTTAAAACACCCAATTTACTACAGAGGGAAAATATCCATTCTCTCTTCCTAATATTTACTGCATGTTCTATTTGTCAATTGATTTGTGCAGGGCTCCATCATTGTTCTGGGCCTGCAGCTTGGCCGCTTCTTCTCCACTGGTACACCTGGTGATAATCGTAGGACGATACACGAGAGTCTGCTGTCCTCTATCGCTCACGTCCTGCCGTGTCCGTACTCGTCCAGCCATGTATCGCACAGGAGGAGTATCCTCCCAGAGGAAGAGACGAGCGAGAAGAGAAGGGAAGAAAGCACTCGATCTGCGTCTGATGAGAGTTTCTCGCACCTGTCGAATGAAAGCCAGTATTGGGATTACAAGGTTGGTATAGTCTGTACAGGTTTCATCTCACGACCTGTATTATCAAAATTGCATTATCTAAAGCTCTTTTATCTAGTACAATATTATATATTTTAAATCTTTGTGATATACATTCAGTTGATTTAATTATTATTGTGCAAATCATAAAATTGAAAAGATATTTTATAAAAATATGTCAAGCTTTTTTCAAACTTTTGTTGATTTATCCATGAAGTAATTTGTATTGTAGATTATAGTGAGTGAGTGAGTCTCTATAGTGAATATATTGTGTTGTGTAAATGAAATTATTTTTATCATTACAACACCCAGATTTTAGACATGAAAATTTAGTTCATTCCCTTTCACTTTTGTTCTGAAGCAAGGTATGTCTATGTATGAACAGATTGAATCTTCAATAATATTATTAGACTTAATGTTCTAATCTTAAGTAATCTTCCTTTCTGCAGCCCTCTGATGGTCAGGCAGGTGGATTGTTCAAGACGAGTCAGGAGAAGTCATCACCATCCTCCTCCTCCTCCATCTCCTCATCCTCCTACCTTTCTTCATTCAGCCACTCCACAAATGATCCTTCCATCTCTCCATCTTCCATCCCAACCGACATCCCACCTTCATCGAGCAAAGAATCTGAATCGCCCTTTGACCAGGTCACCCGGCAGTGCTGGGGTCGGGTCAACAACATCATCGGAGGTCACCTGATGTCGGAGGGAGAGGAAGAGAAAGCTGTCCATCATTTCAGGATAGCCAGTGAATCGGGCTACAGCAAAGGGCAGTACAACCTTGGCATGTGCTATGAGCTTGGGACAGGAGTTCTTCAAGATGATACCCAGGTAGGTGGCAAATTTCACAGGATGTTTTTATTTAGGATCAGGTATTTGACTTAATGATGATCATCAGATGAGGAGATGCAATCAGAGTTGTGTCTAAGGTGATACAGCAGTTGGGGACAGACTGATAGTGGGGATATTTTGGGGTTTACCTGTGGAGCCATCAGTATTTTAGTTGGTGGGCCAGTTATGGTCAAAGGAATAGTTGAACATGGCAGAGTGTCCCAGTTGCACTGAAATCCTAACTGAAATCTTAACTGAAGTAGTCCCAGCCCTCACCTGCAAGCAAAATATTTCTTTCTTTCTGTAATCAAACAGTGGATTTTGGAATGATCATTTGCAAAGAAGCGTGTTTAGGTTGCGCTATAATCTCATATTACAAAACATTTTGGCGCCAGCCTGCCTGGCAAAATATTGCTGAGCTGTGGATATTTTATGTGATGTAAATTTGTATCCTGAGAGATAGCTAACTGATATCGTTGTTCATGTTATCCCTGCCATGGTGGTTTTGTTTGATACATATGTATTCTTCTGTGTTTTTGTCAGGCTGCTGTGTTTTTCGACCTCGCTGCCCAGCAGGGTCATTCACAAGCCCAGTACAAGCTAGGCACATACCACCTGGATGGGAGAGGTAACGTGGAGCCGTGTGAACAGACCGCCCTGACTCTCATCACACAGGCAGCTGAAGGGGACGTGGTCCAGGTAAGAGAAATCTACCATGATTGTATTTCATATCAGAGTGTATGACAAACATACAGATTACAGTAGAAATGCATGAAGGCTCGTTCAGATAGTTCAGATATGATGCAGTAAACCACTACACACAGAGAAAAAAAGCCACAGTTTATTTATGTGTCCTGCACACATTCACCTAGCTTTGTGTCTATAGCAAATGTAAGTGTATTAATACAATATACGCCATCTTAAGAAGATCTTGGTCATCAATATGCACCCTTAAGCCTTGTAGATATGCAGAAATAAACCGTGGCAGTTTTTGTTGAGATGGTGTAAATTGTAATACACTTCACATTTCAGCTTGTGAATCACACTGGCAAGACCGACATTAGACCGATTATGACGAATGTCATTACTTTAAGTTTGATTGGCCAAGAATCTGTTAGTAATCAGTCTGTTTGGTGGTGTTGATGGATTATATGGGTTAAAAGGTTAATGTACCTGCTTTCAAGTGACCAATGACAAACAAAAACCTGAAAATTAAGAACACTTTTGGCAGCAGATACAAAACAAGACAGTTTCAAGGGGTCAATGTATGGATATAGTTGGAAACAAACTGGGAATCTTTCCATCAGTACACATTCAATGTCAATATCAAAGTGCAATGATTTTGGCATTGTTTGTTTACTTAAACCATTCTAGGTGCAATTAACTTGTAATGTATGGTGTAAGTTGAAAAGAGTCAACCATTGTGTTTTTGTTTATTTTGATATCCAGGCTCAGAGTTACCTTGGAATGTACTACATGACTAGTGAAGAACCTGATCCTGAGAAGGCAGTGACTTATCTACAGGCAGCTGCACAGCAGAAGGTAACAAGAAAGCAGTTGTCTCTAAATGTGTTACCTATTTCAAATTATGGAGACCCCAGCCCTCTATCTGTGCTGAAAACTTCAGAAACTTTTGATATTTTGAGAATCAATGAAAATCCCTGTAGGATATGTTTGTGTGTATTTGTGAAAGGTTTCATTTTGGGCAAAATATAAGGGTCATTTAAGGTCTTTCAAATATGTGAATCTCAAGGATATGAGCTCTCAAAGATAAATTGATAAGATTTAGAGTTCAATGGTCATAAACCACACGTCACAATCCTACCTATATTGATAATGTAAAGACGCAACAACAAATGACTGAAGAGTATGTAAATATTGATCTATTTAATTTATTGTCAGATGGTTGAATTTTGAAGTGCTAGACCGCTGTACTTGAAACTTGGTAGTTAATTACAGTGTGTGAGTGGTAATTGGACAGTCCACATTAACCTGTTGCATCATAAAAGCCATTGCCAATGTATGCTGAATGAAAACATAACCTCTCCAGTCTTCATCCGTACTATTCAAAATACTTGTTTCTTTTTAAATATGACCCTGTGTGAATGTTGCAATCCCTTTCTCTAACATCTCTTTATTCATCCTGACATTGCAGGATCCTGAAGCTCAGTACCATCTAGGACTTTGCTACGAGTATGGATGGGGTGTAGATACCAACCAAGCGAGGGCGTCGAGTCTCTACCACTCTGCAGCTAGCAAAGACCACGCCCCTTCACTCTATTCGCTGGCTCTCTTCCATGAACAAGGTCTAGGAGGTAAGAATTATGTTAGGATGTGCTTTTGGGGGTGGTAGGATTGTAAACAAGGAATATTATGATTGAAGATGAGAGACTTGGCCCCTTCTTATAAACAGTTGTTATCAATCACAGCTCATTTGTGATTGATATCAATCGCAACTTTGTACATCAGAGATAGGAGGCTACAAACCTGCGATTGACAAGGGGATTTGCGATTGTTTCAAATCAATCGCAACTCTTTATAAGACGGGGCCCAGAGGTGTCATGGCTTTTGATTCAATGTGAGGGGCTACATGATGGAGGATTGAAGCTTTTAAACTGAGAGGCACTCAGGGCTGTCGTTTAAAGCCGGTAACCTGTAAAACTTGCCGCCTATTCACTCGTTTCTTACCGGCTATAATTCCTATAATAAACCTTGCAAAAATCACAGAAAGTAGATCTAAATCAATGCTAATCCAAAATTTCCTTAATTTCGTCCAAGATATAATTAGTGCCGCACATACACGGCCGCAGTCGACGAAATCCCTTACGATCACCCCGGCCACCCCCCCCCCCCCCCCACTCAGAGGTCGGAATGACCGCATGCGTGTTGCCAAAATGTCCGGTAAAGGGGTACTTTTCGTGCGACAAAGTCCGGCCCGAGAATTGTAAAAAAAAGGGGTGTATTTGACTTTTTACCCGGAGATTTCTTTAAAAAGGGGGTATTTTTCTTTTTTTCTCTCATCTCTTTGGACTCCTGAGAAATTATTCCAAATTTAGGGGGGTACATTGAGTATTTTTCCTGATTTAGGGGGTCTCCAAGGCAGGAAAAGCCCGCGAAAAGCCCGCGAAAGGGGGGTTCGGAAATGATGGCAGTCCTCAGATAGGGGGTGCTTTCAAAAAGAGGGTACGAGCATATGCGTACTCTAAATAACACTGAGTGGGGGGGGGGGGCCGGGATGATCATGAACGCGACGTCGTCTGTACTTACCTAGACCTATCTATCTAACGTTACATCGCAGTTCTCCCCCCACAGCGCGGCGGCCAAGCCCGCCCGTCCCTACCCCATTGCGATCCCGATGTGCACGCGAGAAGACGATGCACTGCACAAAATATATACACACTGATCATAACAAAACTGAAGCTAGCTCGCTGTAACCAAACTATCCGTTGCCGATTTGATATTTGAAGATCACGGAAACCGGGGCCTATACACGTGCGTGCAATGTCTAGAGACAACGTACTTTAGATTCTGAGATGCGCAAATCGGCAACAGAGTTTTGAACTCGGCTGAGTTTAGGCCGGCCACGGCCGTCCCCGGCGGACCCCCGCAGCTAGCTCGCATGATATATGCAGGCTCGCGCTCTGCGAATATTCAAAACTAACTAATGGGGAGCCAAATAAAAGTCACAAGTAAAAAAAAAAAATCAAAATCTAGCCTCTGCTGCCCATTATTTAAATACTGTACATGTATTCAACAAATCATGATGTAGAAAGATTGAGTATGGTGCATCATCTCAGTTTAATTAAAAATTACAAAGTAATGGTACAAAGTGATAAATAATTATCAACTTAATAACTTTTCTTATGAGTTATGATTGTTCATGTAATATTAAACATGAACAATATGTGTGTTTATTACAATATATGTGTAATACAAGGTAGGAAAGATAACTACAAATTTTCTTCTTAGGTATGCACCAGATTGCACGATTTCAAGTGGAAAATCCCAAAAGGTCCCTACCATGGGAGGGGGGAAACCCCCCTCCCACACCCTCCCCCCTCGGTCGCTTCGCTCCCTCGCAGTGATGGTACCTCCTATAAAATTCAAATTACCTCCTTCAAAAATAGTTAACAAGACCCCTGGGCACTCATGTTTAAGATTTCTACTCTAAAATCTGATGTTTCATCCCCTCTTTTTAGCAACAGAGGAAAAAAGCAAACTTCATGAATGCTTTTTAACTGATCTCCAACGTTATATCATATTCCCCATTTCCAATCTGTGTTTTGTTTGGCAATTTTACTGAATTAGTGTTGCTCAACATGCAAATTCAAGATTTTAATCTTTAAGTGATTTCAGTCTTTTAAATTATTGTAGTAATTCAGAATCGATATGGTCCTCAAGATTTTCAGATATTTTATCCATTTTATCTTTATTAATAGGTTTGCCAGAAAATCCATCCCATGCCAAGGAGCTGTTTATCAGGGCCAGCTCATTGGGTTATGAGAAGGCTACAGAGAAACTTCTTGAGATGGACTCAGAAGAAAGTGAGCTCAACAGATCCAGACTCAGATCAAACTCAACTCTGAGCTCAGACTCGCTGTCGTCATGGGCAACGAACTCAGAGTCAGGCTCTGAGAGCGCAGGAGTTGGTGAAACTCTACTCAATTCATCCTCAAGCAGTAGTATAGACTCAGAAATATCAGTGTGTTTCGATGCAGGAGCACCAATGTCGCTGACATCATGGGCAACAAGCTCAGAGTCAGGCTCTGAGACTGCTGGAGTAGGTGAAACTCTACTCTCTTCGTCCTCAAGCAGTAGTATAGACTCAGACATGTCGGTGTGTTTCGATGCAGGGGCACCGATGTGTTTAGACTGGAGAGATGTCCTGCCTCACACCAGTGGTAGTATACATGTATCGTTCAGCGCACCCGAACTCACCAGTAAGAAGAGTACATCGATAGTGGATGGTAGTGGAGATGTGCATTCCATCCTGCACAGTTTGTCCCTTCTGAGTTTTCCCACCCTGCACCAGGGATGGAAGGTCAGAGGTCAAGATGGTCAGTCTGATGGAGAATGGACAATAGATCCTTTGGGATTGACCGTTGATGTTTCCGGGGGTCAGGATCCTCGTCCTAGCAGATCGGGGAAAGTGGTCTTCCAGCTTGGAGGTCTAGACGAAGAGGACAATGTAGACTGGTGTGAACCCATCAACGCCATTGGTCAACAGAGACTGGTGTCATTCAAGAGGGCTACAGCTTTTGTCTAGTTGCAGTCAATGACTGAATGACATTATGTAGGGTCCACGAACAATGTCATCATGGAGATACCAGTGCAGTCTTACACCATTTGCAAACATTTAGCAAAAAAGTCCTTATTTGATGTCTGACTCCCAGGCGGAATGATTGGGACTTTTTACAGAATCAGAGCCATATCTATACACAAAATTTAGGCCAGCTTGGGTTCATTTGGTCACAATATGGTGTATATTCTGTTTGACCAACAAAGCAGTAAATGCCATATATTGTGCCCAACTCAAACTCTGTTGGCCAAACTCTCCTAATCAATGAATCTGAGAAAGAATGTTAGCAGAGTTTTTGGTGTATACATGTAGATTAGCGTGTCCCACCTAGCAGAAAGTATATTTGAATTAATGTACATTACATGCTCCAAATTCAGTTTATTTATCTCTAGGGATCGGCATGCTGAATCCTGAGACTTCTCTATGTGGTTGCTTGGTTGTTGTTATTCTTGTTATTTTTATGCCTCCGTTACGAAGTAGCCGGAGGCATTATGTTTTCGGGTTGTCCGTCCGTCCGTCCGTCCGTACGTCCGTACGTCCGTACGTCCGTCCGTCCGTCCGTACGTCCCGTTCTCGTGATCGCGTTATCTGAAGAACCGATTGATGGATTCCTGCCAAACTTTGGTCATGTATGTTACTTGCAGAGCCGATGAACTGAGTAGATTTTGGGGTCACGAGGTCAAAGGTCAAAGGTCACAGGGCTCATTATGTATGCAAAAACAGCTCGTGATCGCGTTATCTGAAGAACCGATTGATGGATTCCTGCCAAACTTTGGTCTTGTATGTATCTTGCAGAGCCTATGAACTGATTAGATTTTGGGGTCACAAGGTCAAAGGTCACAGGTCACAGGGCTCATTAGGTATGTAAAAAGAGCTCGTGATCGCATTATCTCAAGAACCGATCGATGGATTCCTGCCAAACTTTGGTCATGTATGTATCTTGCAGAGCCGATGAACTGAATAGATTTTGGGGTCACGAGGTCAAAGGTCAAAGGTCACAGGGCTCATTATGTATGCAAAAATAGCTTGTGATCGCATTCTCATTAGAACAGATTGATGGATTCCTGCCAAATTTCGATCATGTATGTATCTTGCAGAGCCAATGAACTGAGTAGATTCATGGGTCATGAGGTCAAAGGTCATGGGCTCATTATGTATCCAAAAATAACTTGTGAACGCATTCTCATTAGAACTGACAGATGGATTACTATTTAACTCAGGACATCTTGCAGAGCCAATGAACTGAGTAGATTTTAGGGTCATCAGGTCAAAGATCAAAGGGTCATATATGTATATGAGAAATTGCTTGTAATCACGATATTCTGAGAACCTCTTAATGGATTACAATTGAACTTGAATTTGAAAAATTTCTTCTGTTTTGGTTTGTAAAATTGCTCTATGACGGAGGCATCATTTTCGACTGCGCGCAGTCGAAGTTCCATCTAGTTTTAATTTCATTTTGTTATTGTAATAAATAGCTGTGCTACCATGTTACTGGTCACCAGGTTTTTCCTCAGGCTTTTACTGAAGCATTATCTCTCTCTCTCTTCTTCGATAACAACTTTCAGCTACGGTACATGGTATAAACTCCACTTATATTTGTAATATTTACAGAACTCTTCGGCCTTCCAACATTTTATCAATGCACAAAAATTACAATTTACTTGTTATAAATATGTATGGTATATTACCACAGTGCTTATACTTTTAGTTTATTTTCTCTTGATTTTATTGTGTCTTGTACAGTACTCTTGTACTATAAAGATTATTTGTTTTTATGTGTATTCATTCAGAAAAAAACATACCGGTATATGCAGACAACTAGACATTATGTAATGGTGTACCAGTACTGTATGCAAATTTCATCTAAGGTATTAAACTCAATGTATTTTTGAAGAAGTTACATACGTTTATAATTTTGCACAAATTTAGCCGTAAATCAATTTCATTATTAATTATTTCATTGATGATATTATTCTGGTTACTTTTTGAAATTGAACACCATATTAATCACAAACAAATAAAAACTTTATTTCTCAACAACTCTTCAAGTAATACGTAAATTGGGACATAAACCAACCACAAATGCTTATCCAGTAAAAGTTCTTGCCATTTTCACATAAATTCCTGGATTTCGGGGTTTCATATCTATGTATCAGCATTGTGCGCTACTGGAATAACTTATTAGTTATTCTACGAAAATTTAGTAACCAATACAGGTAGCTCAAACTTAAACAGATAATGTGTTGAAAAATATCCTTTATGATCATTACGAGGGGAAGTGTAAACAAAATGATCCTCCTATGTGCTCCAACTCTCCTTCCTTTCAAAGAAATTATGACTTTGTATCATGAACTCTAATGAATGCTTTAAATGATTAGTTGGCTGTTGAATGGTGTGCAAACCTGCAAAGTCCACAAAGCACAAAAGTGTATTACCTCTATGCCATTCCGAAAATCTCCTTCAAACAATTTAAGATCAAACACTGGTGATAAATTCTTGCATAGGATTCTCAGGCAACTTAGCAAATCATTTCAATAACACATGTAGGTATTAGCTTTCAACTTGTAACATTTGATGTAGACTTAGGCCATCTTTGTATAATATTTGTAACAATTCTGTTACTAGAGAGTGTATTCAACTAAACTGTTCAGTTTAATAAAATCTCTAGTTTATCACAAAGGTTTGATATTTTGAAATGTTCTAAGATTATATGGAATATGTAATATATTTGTTACAAGGGAAAAAAGATTTTGCTAAGTAATTGCAGTAATTGCTGTGGGTAAATTCAATTTTTGAATATGATTTGACTGTTATCACTTACAGTTCTGTTGTGTAATTTAATATTCATTTCGTTTAGGGAGGAATGAGAGAGAGAAAAGGGAGATACAGTGTTCCTTTGTTTTAAGTGATATGTTTTTACTGAAGTGATGAGGGGTAAATACTAAATATAAGTTGACTGGAAGTTTTGAGCTACACCATGTATTTCTATTGTTTTTGTTTTTTTCATTCTTAATTTGTATTACTTTTTTACAAAAAAATATAGAATCCAAGATCTTGTATGTGTAAATGAAATTTACTCAAATAAAGTCAGCTTTATTGTTGCAAATATATATCACAGTATTTCATTGACTTATTAATATGTGATCATGGATAATCCTACAGCATATGAGATACCTATGTGAGATTGTGACAGTGCAGTGAACAGTCCATCCACTCTTAACCACCCCCCCCCCCCCCCCTCCCTACCTCCTATAAACGGAGTAAAAATGTTAGGAATTCCTTGAGATTTAATTATTTATTCTTTTTGTGTGTATTGTTAAAATCCAAGATTCAAAGTTTAGGGAAGGAGGCGATTGGGAAAACTTTTAGGAAAGCCAGAAATAGAAAAGGGAATGTGTGTACAATATGTGCCCCCCCCCCCCCCCCTCCCTCCCCTCATTAAAACAAAAAGACTGTTGTCTCTGTGACGTGACGAAATACATACCAGGTATGCGGAGTACGATACGTAGTCTTGAACTCCAACCGTACCGAGCTAGCTAGCTAGGCGGCGCCGAGGATCTAGGAGTAGGAAGTCATGCCAGAGACCATGGTTGAGTGCAGTGTTATACAAGCCAAGTAATTAACAGGTGAGGGCTTTTGGGTAAGATTGTCGTATTGCATCGATAAGTGAATCATTTATACGCACTAGGCGCTGCTTTATTGAGAAGGAGAAAGATTTTAACCAACTCTACAGCAAATCTACCATTTCTGAAATTAATTAAAAACTAGTGCAGGCCCCACATATTGATATTTTTGTAAGTAAATTATTTGTTCTCAGGATCCCTAGCCTAGTCTAGGCCTTTTGTTTTATTGGAAACATAAGTGAATCATTTATGTGCCCTAGGCGCTGCTTTATGGAGAAGTAGAAAGGTTTTAACCAACTCTAGGCTTACAGTAAATCTACCATTTCTGAAATAAATTAGTGCAGGCCCCACATATTGATATCTTTGTAAGTAAATTATTTGTTCTCAGAATCCCTAGCCTAGGCCTTTTGTTTTATTGGAAATATTGGAAAATTCATCTTCTTGAGGACATATGAAACTCATTATAAAATAGCTCTAGTATTTTAAGCATTGTGATTGGTCAAAATGCATCATGATGATTTTGTAAATCTATTGTTCAAGAATCAAGGCAACATCAACGAACAGAATTCAAAATTGGAATCAGTTGGAATGATGTCATGATAATTATATACTTTATTTTAATAAAAATAATAGGATGTAGATGCATTTACTATAAATTATATTTTTGTATGATAATGATGACAAATGTGAAGACAAGAGCCTAATTCATTAAGGATTTTTGATAACAATATATAAATATTATTACCTAGGGTCTATTTCTTCTTCTTCTTCTTCTTCTATTTACTAATTTATTAATTGTATTAGTTATTTTAATTTATTCACTTTGCTTATAGGAAAAAATTAAATCAAATTGGCCGGACACACCTCCCCTCTGCTCCATTCAAAATGACTGTGGCCTAGCAATATCCCTAATCTTGATCAGGTGGTGGCAATTACCCTAGTAGAAAGAGTAACAAACATGTGATACTCTTTCTCATATGAATGTTTGTGTTTGTATCTGGTCATTTTATTTGATTCACTTTCATCTTAGTTCTTATGTATTCTTTTTGTTGTTGTTTTCACAGCCTATATACTGTCGAGGAAAAATGATCATAAGTCCCTTTTGAACTGAGCTTGCTTGCCTGAATGAATGGTCAACTCATTGTTGAACAAAGTTCAAGTCTTTCTCCGCTGGAAGTACGCTCACTTTTGGCGAGTGAACATGGGTATGAACTCTCCAGCTAGCATAGATGATATCAAGGTATGTATGTGTGTATTCATCTTCACAGTAAATCTTATTGATGAAGATTCATTACATACGCCTAAGTACAAAAAAACATTTGATAAAAGAGAACAAAGTATGATGTACATGTATGTTTTCTTTTCACTGAAGATAGGTTGCTGTGACAGATACTAGCCCAGGTGGAACATTATTTCCCTGTTAAAGGGAGTCACTCGTCAGTTTCCATGTGCAGAAGGCCATAATTCGCTGACACCAGACTTGGTGGATAATAAAAATCATTAACGTGTGTACAGGTATTAGGTCTGCTCACAGCGAACCAGATGGTCAATCGAGAAATACCCCTCGTGTCTCGAGAGTCTTCGGTTTGAGGGAAAAGTGAGATAATGACTTTACCACGTAGGGGAATGGGTGGAAAACGCAGTACGTTACATAAGGCCTGGTGGTCATAAAACTGAAGGCTAATTCTGGTGATTATCAGCACCTATTATTGGGTAAACACCTGAACAGTGTTGAATTCCCCATGAGAGCTAACTACCGAGTGTCTTTAAAGTGTGGGTTGTGATGATTAAAAGTATATGGCACCATAACTTTAGAAAAGAATGCCAATAATGTTGTTTTTGTACACAATTATTCTGTAAAGGCCTTTAATTAATGACAAAACTCTGTTGAGTTTATAGTGCACACAATTTAAACAAAAATATATAAGTGTGTAGACCTACACATCATGATAAAGAAATTCAAAACACTAGTACTGTTTTCATGCTTTTACATGAAGATAAAGTGCGAGCAACATCTTAATGATTTCTGTTACCCCCCTTCTAGATCCTGTATAAAAGTGAGAACTTTGTAGCAGTGGACAAGCATTATGATGTGAAGATTAATAGTGACGACCCCAAGGATACGATCACAGTTGCGACCCAATTAGCTCATCTTCATCCAGAATTGGTGGATAGCAGTCTTCCTCATAGTTTTAGGTAAGTAAGTAATATAGTAGACAAATGATTGGTTTATTGTGTTTGAGGACTGAGAAAAGAATAGAAAGTGATAGTTACCGACTTACCGGTTTTGTTGTAAACGATAATATGAAACAAGGTTACTTATGGCTTAAATTACATGTTTTGACAGTTAAGCATCTCTATTTCTATTCTATAGGCATGTTAATATCATCAACAATATGTTGTGATCAACATTATGGGTTCCGGCATTTGTAAGTTCAACATAGTCCTCAATTAAAAAGTTGATAAGATTTAGTATCCTTACCAGGTCCCTCGGAGAGGACCTAAATCCGTCGGTCCTCTGGCTGCTTACTAACGAGCATGTTTTCTTAGCAGTCGGGTAAAATAACCACCACTAAAACTAAAAAAATATGGGTTGACTTTATAGGCACTACCTTTAAGTACATATGTAAAATTCCAAATTTGACCAGAGTGTATTAATTTAGTTCCATGTCTTGTCATTAGGTTTGTCAAAATCCATCCAGAGATTTTTCAGGGAAACACGTAAAATACTGCAATTGTAAGTTGTTTAGTTTAAATTTTGCATTTAGAAAATACAAGCAGTTGATGACAGCTCCCTTCATTCCCTACAGATTCATTCACAGGCTTGACTATTCAACCAGTGGAGCTCTATGTCTTGCCCTGAACAAGAAGGCTGCAGCGAATGCTGGGAAAATGTTCAAGGACAGGAGAGTTACCAAGCGATATCTAGCACTGGTAAGTAGACTTTGTCGATATTTGGGAGGATTATTCCAAGCCACGGCATTTAATTAATCCATTCTTTACATAATACATGTAATGTGTGTGCAGAATTAATTTTAATGGAATAAATGTACCGGTGGTGTTGGATAGGAGTTGATCCTCATTGAGTGAATGGATTTGGGAACAGATTTGCAACATTATTTCATGGTACACACATTATTCAAGTTAAAAGTCACTTTTAAACAGTAACAGAAACACTGAATATCCATCCAATCTTTAACAAAGATATCATCTTTTTTCTCGCTTTTTTTCTTCTTTGCACTTTCTTCTCTTTTGATATATGTATGGAACAGAAGTAAAGTACAGGTAGTGCATAGATTTAGAAGAGCTCAAGTTTTTGCTTTTTCATTGGCAAACACAAGTGCCACCAACACATATTCTAACTTTTCATTGACTTGTACTATTGAATACTTGTTCAAAGTTGGAAGAGTGGAGCATGCAAGAACTGCATCCAATCAAATAATCATTGTATAGTGCAAGTATGAATTCAAGTTTTTATTTCTTGATGTTGATGACTTGAAGGTCAGAGGTCACGTCACGGAGGATACCATGATGATCGAGAAGGCCATCTACCCGAACCCCGAGGAGGATCTCAGTCACATGATGAAGGTGGATGATGGGGAGTGTCCTACCGGTACCAGGCTTCTGAGTGCCCTGACTAGACTAGAGGTGCTACAGAGAGGGGAATATGACAGCGAACCTGCTACTAAGCTTCTACTGCAGCTACACACAGGCAAGTGATTGCTTGATCAATGAAAATTCAAACATGATTTAAAGGCATCGTTTAACAATATTGAATCTGATATCCATGGCCCTACGTGTTATCAGCGTCTGTAATATGGTGTAATATTGAAGCCAAAAAAAATTGCACTTCAAAATGATCATGAAGGGCCTCAAAAAAGTAAAAAATCTTTGAGTGACTGGTTTTACTATGCTCATTTTCCCCAATAAACTGTAGTGTTATAAAAACCATTAGGAAAACGAAAAATGAAATTTCGATTTCCAATCATAAATATATTGATAATCAGACAGGCGATAGGCTTGTAAAAATCAGTGGGATTCATTATATGACCTAAAGGTTTATAATTGAGATTGCAGCATGAGCTATATTCAGATTTTGTTTCAGAATCAGAGGCAATGTTCCCGAGTCACTTTAAGTCTCGGTAAACTACAGCTTTTTTGTTTAAATGATGAATTAATTGTATTACGTTTCACACTTCTGTATCTTATAACACATACCCCGATGAATAAGCATAGGACTGTTGTTGCGCGCATCTTCCATTCATTTACATTTATTATGAGTGAGTACTATACAAAAACCCATTGTTATGTACCTTTTCTAAATCCTCCACTATCTTCCTCATTGCAGGGCGCAGGCATCAGCTCCGCATCCACTGCCAGAGCATAGGTCATCCCATCGTTGGGGACTACACCTATAGCATGCGGAAAGATGTGAGTCCGTACCGTATGATGCTCTTAGCCCATACACTCCACATACCGATACCAGGAGAAGACATTGATGTGACTGCAGAAGATGTGTTCACACAAGACAACGATCCCAAATGGATCCCATACCAAGAGGATAGGTAGCATATGCCATGTTCATACTTTGGATTTTTAAAAACTCTTGTGCAATGACTTTAGGAAAAAACGTTGGTGTGATGGAAGAAGATGTGTTCACACCAGCGACCAAGGTGATAGGTAGCATATGTCATGTTCATGCTTTGGATTTTTAACAGCTCATGTGCAATGCCTTCCAGGAGAAAACATTGATGTAATGACAGAAGATGTGTTCACACAAGACAATGATTGGAAGTGGAACCCATACCGAGATGATGTGTAGCATGTTGTGTTCACACAATGGATATTTAATGGCCAATTTGCAATGACTTCCAGGAGGAAGCATTAATGCAATGGTAGATGTGTTCACACAAGACAGTGATTGGAAATGGATCCCATACCCAGATGAACGGTAGCATATGCTGTATTCACATCGCCAGTTTACAACAGGTTATGTCGACAGACTTACACATATGAGGATGACACATTGATATTACTGGAGAGGATGCTATTACTCGAGCCTATGATCCAAAATGGACTTTTTATCATGATGGTTTGCGTGTAATCTAATTGTCAGCAGCATATGATGACATAAATGGTACCCTGGGGTACCCAAAAAAATTCGGCCATTTTGTTGAATTATTTTTTTTTTTTTTAAGGCTGTACCCTGGGTTACCAAAAAGTGGGAAATTATTTTTGTGTGATTTTTTCAACCTTCAATTGTGTCCAATGTTCTTGTAAAAAATCCTTTAAGTCCTGTATTTCTAAAATTCATTGTTGTTATGAGTAATTATTCTATTATTGATATCATTTCATGCTGTTATGATACACCCTGTATTATTATTGTGGTATAATTAAAATTATTAATTGGATAGCCACCGTAGTGCGCTTGTGATCGTGAGCAAGCGCTATAGCGCGAGCAGTGCATGCATGCACACCATGCATAGTATACACCATAGAGATACCACGGAACTATGTGCACGCACTCCATACATTGTACTCGAGTGGACGCGAAATGGCGCTACACAACGCGGTACCCCGGGGTACTACGGTACCCCGGGGTAACGCGTGGTGCATCATATGTCAAAAAATGTGAGTGCAGGCATTCACAGCATGGTTGGCAATAGAGATCATGTGATCCTAGTAAAAAGAATCTCTTACTTCATATGATACATTAAAAGATTCCAAGTTTGTAATTTTGATCCTATATGTGGTAACAGTGGTATGTTCTTTTGTGTCTCTTTGTCTATTATCTGTATTTGACTGGCAGTGGTTTGAATATATGTTGTCTAGATGTACAAGAGTTTACGGAAAAATGGGGCAACTTTGGAAAATGGTCTTGGATGATATAAATGTATAGTTTGCTGACTGTATCAAAAGCTCAATTTTGGGTGATAACTTTAAAGATAAAGGTGAGTTCTGGTAATGCGATTGCATAGTTGTGAAAGAAAAGGTGTGGAATGGATCAGAAAAAGCTCATCATATAGCATGTAAGTATTGGTCTGTACTGCAAGGTTCTGGAGTCATCAAAATCATCATGAATTTGGCCCAGTCTTGGTAAAGTAACAATCACTGTACACAGAAAGATGTATATGGGACAACACAAATGATGTCAGGGCTTGTACTCTACCTTGATTTCCTTATCTTTCTACGCTCATTACTCGGCCAGTATACATTTTCTTCCAAAATTGTTTGGCACATGACATTTATTTGTAATCTTGAACATTCAGTGTAAGTTTCGCTAGATTCTGTGAGAATTCATTTTCTTTTTTTTACCAGAACTCAAGTTTATCTTTAATAGACATGTTTAATTCATCTTTACTAAATGGTTGGCATTGTTTACCCCATTGGTGTGAACATTTACACAACTTTTTTGTTTTGTATTACTGTAATTCCCTCACACATACAAGTTTAACTACATATATATTCAACAGCTTGTGCAGCAGTATATCTCATTCCTACACTCTTTCATTTGTCCCTCTCAATTTTTAATCGTTTTTAAATGCTTCATCTCTCCATTTTGATTTCAGTAGTTCTTTTTCTCTTTCATCTTCTATATCTCTCCTCCCAATCTGTCCGTCTGTCTCTCTCTCTCTTTCTCTTCCTTGAACTATGTCTATCCTCTCTCCTTAGTCACCACTTGCTCACTTATGCTCTCTCTCTCTCTCTCTGTCTCTCTCTTTCACTTTGTCTTGATCACTCTTTATATAACTTCCTCCTATTCTATTTATCCTCTCTCCTTTTCTAATTCTCCATTTCTTGTTCACTTGGTCTTTCTCCTTCCCTTCCTCTCTCTCTTTCTCTCTAAGAAGACTCTTTTACAATCCATTTGCATTTAAAATGGTGCTATGGCTTACATCACAGCTACTTTATTGACATACAGTACTTGCATTTATTTTTCAACGTGTAATTCTTGGTGGTGGAAGATATGGATGTTTTGATAACACAAATTCATTATGCATGAATGTTTAATCAGAGAAGCAAATTCAGATAATTAGCCTGTTCACTACTAAATTCTCTCATTGCCAAAAGCTTTACACAGATCACTAATTTCCCGTAGGCAATGGGCAGAGCTGCTAACCAGTACGATTTTATCGTATTTCGTACGTTTTTTGAAGTAAAAAAAAAAATGTGTGTTTGTGTGCCATTTTCAATGGCAAATAGCCCATTGTCTCCTGTAAAGTATCCTACAAGCATCTCACATTGGCAATTTGGGGATGTTCATTGGCTCATCGAACAAATCATGCGTATTCAACCATTGGTCCATTGAAAAGTTTCTTCCTGTATGTAGGAACTTATGCAAATTGGAACCCCCCCCCCCCCCCCCCAAAAAAAAAGAAGCATTTTCGCAGTTAGAAAGTATTGATCGATCAAAACTGGGATTTTTATTTTCAAAATAGGATTTTTGTTCAGTTGAGGTTGGCAGCTCTGAATGGGTCATCTGGGCCCTGTCTTACAAAGAGTTGCCATTGATCCAAATTAATCGCGAGTCCTCCCATTTAATCCCAAGTTAGCAGTCTCCTATCTCTTATGTACATAGTTGCAATTGATATCAACTCTTTGTAAGACGGGGCCCTGATCAGAAGAAAAATTCCATAATAGCATAAACAGAAAGAAAAGAATTTCTGCACATAAGTCTCTAAAAGTTACAACTATAAATCATGGGTTAAAGGCTATAATGATGGCAAATTACATCAGTTGAACTACAGAATGTCCTCTTAATACATCAGTCACATGCCCAAACCAACTCTAAATAGACCAATTTTCTGTTATTTGGGTAATGTTAATGTATGGTCGGTCTATTGTTGGTCTGGGGCCTGTTTCACAAAGCCTTTTTTCAATTAAAAATGGCAAAAATCAGTGACAAATCTGCTGATAACCAATCAAAAGCAAGGATTTCAGTAGCTTATAACAAAAACTGTCATTTGTCACTGATGACAAGTTCTGTGAAACGCCCCCTGGTGTCAGTCTCATTACTATGTCTGCAGTACTGACTCATTAATCCATTGACAACAAATTTAGGACTTGTTTATGGCATGGTTTCACCTAATCAGTTCTGCTGCTTCATGACTGCACTGACCATCGGCCTAACCTGGATCAACATCGCTATAAATATGTCCCATCCTTGGGGCTCCGGCGTATCACATAAAATGTCCTTTCAGTCTCTGAACTCCTTCCATCCATCCATCACCTCAAATCTTCATCTGGCAATGGCAATGATATCCTTGTGGTTTTCTTCTGCTTCCTGTAAGCTTCTATAACCGAGCTTCTCGTCTCGTCAAAGCGTGACTTCTCCAGAGCAGACATGTCTTTTCTCCTCTTCCCTTTCTTCTGGCCGCTCTTGCTATCTGGCCCGCCCTGTCCAGCCTTCTTGCGCTGCTGAGTTGGCTTGGTACCTGATTGGTCCGCTGACATGAGTCCTTTAAGAAGCAGTTCTCGTTGACCAGGCTAACGTCATAAGATCAAAAAATTTTGGGGAAAATCAGATCATTAAGATACCGGTAGTTAGAATTTACTGATATTTATCACACTTATCAGTAGAAATTGTGAGGGTTGATTCTTCCTTCACACATTTTACTGATATGGTTGTTACTAACTTTTTATGTTTTACTTGATTCAGAAAGTCCAGTAACATTGCTGCCACATCTTGTTTTACAATAAAAAATAGTTAGAACCAGAGGATTAAAATTACCTCATATATTAATCAATGTAAAGTTTAAACATACTAACTGTATTTTGTATGCAATTCAGCTTTCTGTAACTTAGTGGTGTCGCCAAGTAGCCAGAGAGATACATGCAGTTTGAGACTTGAGGCATAACTCTTCATAACACCTACCAGTACATTTAGTCCCTTGGAACAAAAACAAAGAACCATACGTCCCTGAGAGCCCAATTATAAGTCATATAATAAGGACTTTGTGAAATACCAATGTAATTACCTTTACTACATCTTGGCCCTTCCTGGGTGCTTTGGTGATTGTCGGCGGTTCCAATGCAACTTCTCCAAATAATACCTTATCTATTAGCAATATTCAAGGGAAAATACAAAAGAAAACTGTAAAGGATCCACAAACTTCTAGTCATTTGATTAAAATCAGTCAGGCAATGACTGAAATTGAAAGCAGAAACAAGGCAAACAGATGCCAACATTCAGGATGGAAGTTTAATCAATGTACCGGTAGAATGAAAGATGATTCATATCATACTTCAATACTTGGGACTCTGCTGGAATATTGCCAGTATACTTCGCTTACTAAGAATATCCTTACCGTATTCCACACATTCAGTTCCAACAAAGTGTAACAATTGAAAGACACATTTCACCCTAGTACTAGACAATCATGATAGAGGTTTCCAGTTGAATTTGTGTTATCAGGTGGAGTGGGAATGATAAATACTACAGGGGTTGCTTTTCATAATAACATGAAATATGACTTAAGGAAGTTTAAAAAAAATTGTAATGATTCATGTAAAAACAAATGAGACAGAGACTTCCAGCATCTACAGTGTACATGTATGATGTATTAGAGCAGCCTCCACCCTTACACAGTTCAAAAGGGGGCTAGAAGGAATCACACTAAGGCCAGAGTAGACACTACTCATGGCAACATTTTACTTGCACTGCCACACTTTTAAATTATAGAATATTAGAAGAACAGTTTCGCAGCCACACCCTACACACGGCACAAGCACCGCACAAAGTACGAAAATACTCTATTTTAATTTAAGAGGCAGGTACTCAACTGAAAGTTCTAAGAAGGTGACAAAAACAGAGGTGACTAATAAAAAATAAATGAGACAAAGAGATAAAAACAGAGAGATGTCCTGTACAAATTAATGAGACACACGCAAAATAGAGAGGTGACCTGGGAAGAGAGAGAGAGAGAGAGAGAGAGGGAGAGAAAAAGAGAGAGGGAGAGAAAAAGACAGAGGGAGAGAGACAGGAAGAGAGGGAGGAGAAGAGGAGAAAAGGAGAGACAGAAGGAGAGAAAGTGAGTTAAAGACCGTCAATACTACTGGGCCAGAAGGGATTAGACCACACATCGAGGTCACTGACAGGTGGCTATCTCATTAACTCGGCTCTCAACTAACATAAGAAAAAGAAGATCATGGGGGACCAACAGGCACCGATTGAGGAAGTTTTCTTTATAGAGGGAGCAAGTAGCTACAAGTAGGACAGTGGGGCTTTAAGAGACCACAATCTTTAGAAAAGGAGATTTTTCTACATTTACCTTTCATCATTTCCTTCTCCAGGGAATCTAGCATCTGTTCATTTTTGGCTGCTTTCACATATTCCTCCTGTTCTTCCAGTTTCCTACAATTAATGCAACATCCTTTAATTGTACATTTTTGTTTGATGTATAATTGTCAAATGCTCTTATAATGGAATACAAAGTATCTACATTTTGTTGCTTCATAGGAACAAACTATATTACCAGTTGATATTAGAAGTTAGATAGATTTCTGCATGACATTTCATCCACTAACTCTTGAACACAAGAAACATCATACACGATTACCAAGTCATTATTGATTATTCAAACATTGTTACTATACTTTTGTTACTGTGTGTACCTTTTCAGTCTTATTAGTTGTGAGCAGTGCGATAACTCTTAATTTTAAACCTCTTTACAATATGAAAGTAATATAAGCCCACATAAACATAAGTGAACAAAATGCTGAACGACCACAAATTATAATTCCTATCTATATAAAAGGAATGAGAACTTTGGTTCATGGTTTACAAAATAGAAAGTAAATATAATACAATGTTTAATGGTAAAACCACAAAGATAACGATGATGGATAGAGGGGCAATATCACAATAAAAACTATTAAGGGGAAAATGATGAACTTACTTTTTTTTGGCTTCTGCTGCTGTCTTTTTTATCCTTTTCAGTTTCCTCTCCTTTTCTTTGGTGAGTTTCTTTGGAGTCGCCTCCTTATCTCCTCCACTCTTTAGAATATCCATCTTCTCCTTGTTCACAACGTTTGTGGCTATCCTATCCACTCTGGCAATGTACTGGCCATCGGATTCCCAATGATGTCTTTCAAACTTTTTCTTTTTCCTCCTGTCTGTGAACAAGATACATTACAAAATCAAATGGGAAACAAAAACAAAAACAAAGTGCATATGCATTCATGTATTTATAAATATCAAATCTATAAAGAATGTCTGCTACTTCTTTGAAATAATGTGATTTCAGCAATGACTTTTTACACATGAAATTTTATTTTCATAAGAACACCTTCACATTTGAGTACAATTAAGGTAGGAAGATATAATAATAGTGATTCAGAATGTATGGTGGCAATTAATTCCCAAAATTTAGCGGGTTGGAAAGCATGAAGGAATAGGACTCTAGTCACTCTACTTCAAGTTTGCTGTAAAAAATAACTTGAACACCTTTATTATTCATATACAACTCTTACCAGTCGAAAATTCCTATAATCATATAGCTTTACATGTAAGAGCAAACTGCAAATATGAAATAATATAATTGATCCCAAATTCCTAATAATTACCGTTACTTACTTCCCCCATTATCCTCCATGCTCTCTTCGTTCTCTCTCTTCTTCTTTTCAGCCTTCTTTTCCTTTCGAACACCATCTTCCTTCAATGAACTCATCAGCTCGATGAAACCCTTGGGTGGTTTCTGTTCAAAATCCTCTTTATTTGGTGGTTTGTTGAATACCTTTTCAAGACTATGGAGTAATAGAAAAGGGTGAAATTGAAAACTGGAAGGTGTCAATAAACAGAATTTAAAAACTATGATAACAAGAATAAATGGGGAAAATCTGGAGCAGTGCAGCTCCACCCCCCCCCCCCCCCCCTGCTCACCCTTCCTTTACTCCCTCTCTCACTCCCTCCTCTCTTGTGTCCCTCTTCTGGCCATTTTGGCATTTTCTTAATGAGGAACTGATACTAATATCAATGTTTATCCGAAAAATACTCCAAAAATAACAAGAAAATTGACACGGGTATCTCCACGCCATGAGTTACGGGTCCAATTTTGGATAGGTTCCTGAACAAGCGCCAAAAGTAGCTATACCCCTTTACCGGACATTTTGGGAACACGCATGGTATCCCTCCGTTCACGGAGTGGGAGGGGGGGGGGGGCCGGGGCCGGGATTTGATAGTATTAAGTAGACTCACGATTTGAATTTTCAAAGTAGGGTCTTGATCTATAGATCTAGACTAGAGTAGACTAGACTCTAGACTAGATGGCCAGACTAGATAGAGTAGATCTAGACTAGTCTTTCTAACATCGCATCGGTAAAAATAAAATGAAAAGATTGTATTTTAGTTTTTACTGCTATTAAGCTGTCATCAATTGTCACTTAAGTACAGATTTTGAAAGAACTAAGTTGAGTTTCGTACAGTGGTGTTTGAAATGTAGAGAATCAATAGAACAGTCTTTAATACAACACAGCCAGGATAATGGGTTTCCACACTGACATACAATTACAACAAGCTTTTTAACAAGTGGGACCGAAGACAAAGTTTATGCCACACACGAGATAATACACGACACTCACTCTAGATCCACTCTCGAGCTCTCTAAATTATCACTCACACTTACCGTATCAAATTTCTTTTTCTCGAGCCTACACAAAATGGATCTACTGCTTTGTACTTCTTATATCTGCTTTTCCGACCCATATTTCACAACTTCTTAAAAAGACGATTAGAAAATAATTCACTCAAGTCTGCAAGTGAGGCCAAACATGCAGTAGGGGGGGGGGGGGGGGTATGGATATGGGGGTGGGGTAAAGGATTCACCATGACAATTCATCACATTCCAAAAATGGACAATATCATTCCGCTTCAGTCTTATTCAGTAAATTTTTAACATTTTTTAGGGGCAACATGTTTAATTTTATATCATAAACAGGGATATTGACTAAAAAGTACGAGGAAAATCTTAAAGATTGAAATTATTTAGGTAGAAGGTGCTACTTTTTTGTTGACGCGGATGTAAATAATGTTGTGATTGGTCAAAACAACTTGTCGGGGTTCTTACTTTATATCGAGCTAAATCAACCAAATATGTCGTATATTTCGCGAAAGAAGGAGAAAAGTATATGGGATGAAATATGCAAAGGTAAAGTCATATTTTTATGCTATAAATGTGATTCAGTGTTTAGAACATCTTCGTAAATCTACCCTCTTTTGTGGAGAAGAATTGATAACTTTCCCTCAGGTCAGTCCCATTCGTTCAATTACATGTCTCGTTCTTCAGTAGATGCAGGTTCAAGTCCCGCTGGCCTGGTTCCAAGATTTTTTCTGACTTGTTTTTCAATACACATCGATAAATCAATCTTATTTACTGGGTGTAAGCCACAAATATGTTTAAATAATTGAAATTTCTCCCAGGAAGCATTAGCAATTACATTTATAAACAAGTCAATAGATCTAGCCTATTGTGTACGTTGCAAAAACAAAGAAAGGTTTTTTAAAGCATTGTTCCCCAATTAAAGTAGCAGAAACATTTTAGATTCTTCTAATTCTTTCCCATTGTTCGATACACTGGCCTGCAGAACCATTTATAAGGTAACTTTTAATAATTGAAGCCTCTTTTTCTGTTCTTCACAGAGTTTGCTCTCATGCGACCACCATTCCAGGCGGATGATGAGGGTTCGTCAGTCACGACAGAGGTCATCGACTACAACCCTGCCGCTCATTCCCCCGTTATGTTTGGTCACATGTACGAGAAGGTGGAACAGGCGGACACGGATCTCACCAGTGAATTCAATCCTGCGGTGTCTCACCCGGCAGCTGTAGGCTACACCATGATAGAGAAACCCTTGAGGCAACCTACCCCACCCCCAGCACCGAAACCTCCAAAAGACACATGTAAGAGCTCTTCTTGCCTCCATCCATTGTACCATTTTAGCTTCAGATGCTTTGATTGCATGAGGATTTAAAAGAGTTTAAGAATCCATACAATTTTTTGAAGAACTTGCTTGTAGTTCTTTTTTGGGGGATAAACCAGTTGACCTACAGTTTTATATCTCAATAGCTATAGTTGCCTCTTGCCTGATTGGTTCTATTATGAGACTCCCTTTTCATCTTGGGGGAAGTCTATTGAAAATTGAGTCATTGATTTTCCTTTACAATAAGTCTTTCACAGGTTTGTACTTTTTTAATGAAACACAACAGGTCATGGTCTTTAGGCAGCAGTGCCGTTTATCAGAAAACATATTCCTTCACAGGATATGTTACACCTCAAATATTACTGACACTTAAAAATTAGTCAATTTGAATACATGTTTCTGTTCATTTCTTAAGTTTGGTAAATGTTTTTTTTTTTTGTGCTTGTTTTATTTTCATTTCATTTTTTAAAAACATTTTTCATTATTATTATTATTTTATTTTTTTTGTGAGGGGGGGGGGGGATGCTGAATGTCATACATTCTATGGTTATCTGTATTGCATTGATTAACATATTTAAATTGTTTGTATTTTCTTTTTCATTTTGATTCCAGGTACACCAAGAGAGTATCAGGAGCACTACATCTTCCCTACACTTCTCCCAGCTTTGCTAGCAATGCTGAAACAAGCCAAAATTGAAAGGTGTTTTGAGGTAAGACATTGCAATCATGCAATCATGTTTAAAATAAGAAAGAAAACATTGTTTTTAAAGGGTGAAACAGTAAATGAAATATTGCACTAAAGACACATTTAATCACAAGCGCATACATTTTGTGACAGAGGCCAGAATTAATCCAATTTCATTTTATTTCTAAATTTTTGTTCATAAAGTATAAATAGAAAATAATTTTACATGTTTTTCTTGAAAGTCAGTCATTTTCTTAATTGGCTAAAACATATTTGAGTCTATTTTCTCACTATTTCAGTTTATAAATTGTTTTTCTCCTTATTTTTTGTCGTTCAGAGAAAGCGCTTTCGCTTCAACGGTCTTGACTTTTTGACGGAGTACCTTTGGAGGTGAGTGGCACTGACCAACCAAACCCATATTCTTTAATAGACAAATTAATTGATGTATTCCACTTTATAAACCCTTCTACTTAAAGGCCCTACTTATTACTATGCTTTATTTCATATGAAAAAAAATCGCACTGCAGGCTGCATAAATTAGTTATTGGTGTTTCAAAAGCAAACATGTGACAGGCATTTAGGATCATCATTTTTCACTCTTGTAGAAAATGGACTAAGTTTGTGAACTAGTCTATTGAAAATGAATTACCGGTAGTTGCTCTTACTGTTCATACGATTTGTTGTTGTTAGATAAATCCCATTAATTGAATAACAGTAATGAATCTTTTTTTCAATGCTGACATAGCTTAAACTTTTGTTAAGAATATAGATGCAAATGACTTAATGACATGGAGAAAAAAAGAAAGCATTTAACTGTGAGAGACTATGTTTTTTTTAATGGAAAACAGCAATACCACTTAGGGATAGGAGGATGTGGGAGGGAATTGTATCTTCTCCTTTCTATGAACCCCCCCCCCCCTCTCTCTCTCTCTCTCTCTCTCCCTGTGTCTTATCCTATGTAGCTCTATTTTTTTAGTCTTTACTTTTGTCATATCCTTTATATTTCTCTTGCAGGCATAACCCAAGTGTTTCAGGCCGTGAGAAAGATAATCTTGATGAGATTCCATTTGTCAAAACCATCCTGGCTGAAAAGTAAGTCTGCAGTTGCTTTTGTTGTGTGTTACACATTTATATACCTCTCTAATTTCAGGTTTTTTTCACATTGGCATTATCATCACTTGTTTAGTTTATTCACCATCAAGTGAGGTTTCATAATGTACACACAAACATTTGTTTGATGCTTCTAGGTTGTATATATCATTTTCCCCCTACAATGAGATTAATTTTTTGTAAGAACCTAGGACAGAGTTTACTATTTTGTAATGAACAGCTCAATAGTGGTCCCACCTGCACACCCCAGTATAGTACAACAATACTCTGTAAAGAGGGATGTACTCAAATGGAAGATGAAGAAGAAAAGCTGAGATAGAAAATGAATATATACCGGTACTGAGCAAATCAGTTTCGGTATTGATTTTTACATTTTTTTAATTGTTAATGTTGTCTACAGCCCTAGACCTCCTCTGCCTCTGTCTCTGATTTGGAGTGAGGTTGAAGCAGCCACTGTCATCCAATCTTTCTTCAGAGGCTATAAGGTAAGATTTCTTTATAGAAAACATATTAATATATGGGCCAGTAGCTGTGTGATATACGTTTTTTAATTTTTTTTTTTTTTTTTTTTTTTTTGGGGGGGGGGGGGGGGGGGGGGGGGTTAAATTGCTCTTTGATAGAAAAAAATTTGAAGGAGCTAAATGTCCTTTCATATACTAAGTACCATTATTTAAGTCAAATATTTGTTCACATATTGCAAGCAGAAAATCAATATAACAAATGTCATTTCCAGCTAGACTTAAAAATTTCATTCATGAGGAAAATGTGTATCATTGTGTTTGTGCTGCATAATTGGAACATTGGCTATGAGATTTCTTTACCCAATACATAGTACAGGGCCCCTTCTAACAAAGAGTTGATATCAATCGCAACTGTGTACATAAGAGATACGAGACTACAAACTTGCGATTGATTGGAGGACTTGCGATTGATTTCAAACAATTGCAACTCTTTGTAAGACGGGGCCCAGGTGTACATCCTTATTGATTTTTAATTAAAGATATGTGAATAGTTGTTGCTATATAGCTGGCTTGGACAAATTCTTGTGACATTCATTTATGAAATTACAAATTTATCACAGGTCCGGAAGCTGGAGCACATCCAGGAGCTCCGTCACTGGCAGAAGGAGTGGCGCGAGGAGAACGCTGACATCAAGCACAAGGTGGAGCACTTCTGGATGGAGCACGAGCCAGGTCCGGCCCAGGAGGAGCTCCGCCGCAGTGCCAAGCACAACAGGAGCCAGGGATACCCAGCCTGCTTCAGGCTTCGTACGTGGAGCCCCAGCCCGGAGCCGGTCGACCCTTCTCCACCGGAGCTGGAGGTGGATCCTTCCGAGGCTGATCGCACCACGACAACGGCTGGGGATCAGCTGTCACGTACTAATGCAACAGAGAGAACAGGCTCTGTGGTCTCTACCGTTCCGTCAACGACAGTCTCGTCAACTAAGAGAACAATTGTATCATAGTGTTGGGAATTCACAAGAACATTGTTCTTTAACACTTCATGAACTTCTAGTGCACAGTATTTACTTACGAAGCATTCATTTTTACAAGATGTAAATACATTTTTTGAGCGAGGTTTCAACATTCTTTTGACAAGATTTAAAATAGAGCTGTGAAGGTTGATTCCCTAACTTCTCTTATGTTAACATGTTTGTGATTATCTGCATTCGGAGCTAGCCAGTATGCTTACATTATTCACTTTGATATGAACCAATGCCTTTGGTTACGTGCAAGAAGTTCAATCAATGTTTAAGTAAAGAGAGTAATGTCTCTTATGGAATTAAAACAACAAATCTTCAGAAGAATTTCATATCATGATGTTTTGATGGCAACAAAGGGCAGGATCTTGTCATTTCAATCAAGATTTCCAGACAACATCTACATTGTTTTCCCCCAAACAAAAGATACAATGCTCAACCGAATTCAGGACTTAATAATGGTCATTTCTGAATTGCCCGACTGAGCTTGGATGCTACAAATATTTTGAATTTATGTACTTAAGATATTTCACTCCCCCCCCCCCCTTCACTCTTGTTATCTTGAAAATACACATCAGTCCGTATGTATGTTAGAGCGTGTCAAACATGCACTTCCAATCTTAGTTGCATTCCCATTTTACACACATCAGGAATTTTATTTGTAGGATCTATGGAGCATATACATTCAAGATGTAGGGAAAGGTCTCGTTTCACAATACACATAAGATTGCTTTACAAGGTTGAGTATACTCCCACCGACTGACCAATTTTTCTTCCCCCCCCCCCCCCCCCCCCCCCCACCGAACAAAACAAAACCAGTTTTACTCTATGATCTTGGGGAGCTTCTATCTTCCTCAACCAGTATTTTTTCTAATTGATATATTATACAAATGATGGAAGTACAAAGAGATGTATAGAAAGATGTAGGGCCTCCACGGAAAACAGTATTTAACTACTGATGGAGCAACCCTACTAAAAAAAACAACTAATAAATAAATAAATAAAATATTGTTAATAAAAGAATCTAATATTCATATGTTTATTTTTATGGCACTGGGAACAGACAAAATCCAAGGGCATTGAAAGATTTTCATTGATAGAAATATATATTTTATTATATGATTAAGTACAGTGCAGTTTATCAAAGTGCATGTCCAAAGTACATGATTAAACTTTAATCCTATTCACATGATTACATCACAATCAAATGTAATAGTATTTAAAAAGCTGGTTGATAATCACTAATGACATTGATATGAAGTCAATTAAAAATCAATCAAAAATAAAATTAGGAGGGACTTTGAACTAAGTAGACCCTACAAGTTAAATTTGTCCAGTTTTGAAAGTACACGTCTTCATGAAAGTATTGGTTAAACTGGGCTGCATGATTAGCCCTAGATATTCTAGAGAGCTTGATACGGGAAATATGAAATTGGAATACTATACTACATACACATGTACATGACTTCTAATTTACATTATAACGGTCACAGTGGAAGATCATTGATAAGGGTTATAACCATGCAATTCTGTTTTGCTTCAAAATTCCAAACCATAGCAGGTATTTATGAACTCATATTACTTGTTAACACCTACATGTAAAGACTTAAATAATAAAACAAAAATAAAATATATGAACAATAAATGAACGATATTTTACACTACAAGAGGACTCGCCTTCATAACATATAGATAAACGTGTATAGTGTCTATCCTTTTTAAAATCCATAATATAAAAGTTTTTCAATACATTTTTTTTTGTTGAAAATATTTTGGAATGCCCATGTATTGCTGCATATCACCGAATACAATAGCGATTTTATTTCCTTTAAAATTGTAAGTGAAAATTTATGACAGATGTCATCCCTATAGCACATTAAAAAAATAGACACAAGTGGATGGGTGTTAAGATAATCCTTAAACCTTTATGCTGTATAAAGCGTATATTTTGTAGCAATATATTTCTTTTATCATTAATGTCATGTAAATATATATGCATGTAATATAAGAAAATATTTGTACATACGACGGCAACAATGTATCGATACACCAGTATAATAAATATTGATGAAAAGTAAGTAAAATGTATTAACAGACATACATAGTATGTGATTCTGATTAAAACCAATTTTTTCAAACAGCATACTGCCTACGTTTAAAGTTTTGTTTCATTTTCCATGTCATAAAAGCAAAGAAATTGAATGCATTTATCTACTGCACATAAAATGTAAGGCCAGCTTCACTGGGGGAAAATAATGCTGAAAATTACAATTGTCTTTGTGCTTTATATATGGTACAGCCTCATGAAGACATGGAGAGATTATCTGCCACCAAAGACTGCTGGGGCAAATTAAGCCATTTTTTTATGAGTGAATGAATGTCAGGTGTGGAGAGGGAAAAAAAATGTTTTTGAATCTAGATTTAAGTTGGTACATCTCTATGAACACCGACCATCTATGATAATGTGGAACCCTTGATCTTTTAATCGTTGAGGCTCGTTCAGATATCATGCAGCAAAACTGCGGCCGTTATTTCACTATAATGTACTGTGTAATATCTGAACAAGCCTTTAGGAACTAGCCCTGCATTTCATATTTATACATTTTGATCAAGATCAAAGTGTAATGTGTGCGGTGCATTGAATGTAAATGGTCATCATTGCATATGTACAGAGTCTAAAAGCTATTCAATGCTACAACTTCATAAATGAGAGAGAAAAAGAAAAGAAGTTTTCATTATGGCTTGACAGACACTCCAAACCATGATGCTGGCAAGCTATTACACTGGCAAGGGTATAAAGATAACATCATTATAACCATCCCCCCATAAAATAATTGGAAGACCAAAAAAGATGCAATGAAAAATACAGTGTTTTAGAGGAGGGAGATTGACTAGTATTGAAATGTGAGGTAACATAGTTTCTAAAATACACCAATATTGTATGCAAATTTACAAAGGTAATTATACAGCAATAAGTTTTATAGTCTAATCTAACCTTGTGGCCATATTTTAGAGGCATTTGCCTCTGCTTTGGACTGAGTCACATACTGTACAATATCTATTGAGTGGTATATAATTATTTGTGACTCGGGATTGCAAGGGTGATTACGTCACTGATAGCAAAGTGTTGTGTAAGAGATACAAGACCACCAAACCATCTACCATTATAGTAGTCATTTGACATTACAGAAAACTGATGTTTTTTGGTCAAGAGTATGAACATGAATAAGAACAAGGGTGAAAAGGCCATTACCATGGGCAATGTTGAACCTTTCTGCTGATTTTATTCACTGCACTCTAAACCTTGATCCACCAAGGACCGAAATGAGTCCTAGAAAACCTGGAAAGAGTGCAGTGAATGAAGTCAACACTTTCCATAATTTCCATGACAGATAAAATGGGAGTCCCATCTTCCTTTTTGGAATTTTAAGACCAAATATTGTTGAGTTGAGGTGAGGAATCGACGAGAAAAGCTTCAATAGCGATGAACAAATAATTTGCTAATTCATGATTAATAATATACACAGGATAAGATCTTTCATTAAAATGAAAGTTCTAATTTTGAATGCACTTAAAGGCCCACTGCACTACTTGTAGCTACTTGCGCCCTCTATATAACAAACAATGCCTAATCGGTGACCATTGGTCCCCCATGATCCACTTTTTCTTATGTTAACTGAGAGCTGAGTTGATGAGATAACCACCTGTCCAGTGACCTTGCAGGGCACTCTAATCCCTCCTGTAAACTACGGCAGATAAGCTTTAATCACTTAATATATATCAGTTCTCTCCTCTCTTTATCTTTAAACAAAGAATCACTACTTAACATGATTTAACTTGAGAACCACAAAAATAGCTGATGGTCAATACCCCCAACTCTTAATAAGGCCACTGTCCATGAAGAAAAATATCTTTAAACAAAAAAAATTCTGTCAATAGATTATAATGCACAAAATCTCAAAACACAACTGTTTGATATAAAGGTTTTTTATAGAGTGTATTCTGATATTTGCACATAATTTTGCTTGCACCAGCTTCCAATATCTCATATGAATGCCATGCATACATAATTCTCACAAACTGTGTTGAGACATCCACATAAACAGTCAAGATTTTTACTGGACCACGTGTAGCGATCAGGGCCCAGTCTTACAATTGCGGTCTGAGTCCTATCTCCTATGTTCATAGTTCCAATTGATATCAAAAGCAATTAAGCTGCGATTAATCGCAACTGTTTGTAAGACAGGGCCCAGCAACTACCTAAACGATAATGAGTATTAAGAAATGTATGATAACTGTCATTCTAGTGCTACTGTTTGTTTGTTTGAAGATGACATTATAAAGTGCACTGCATAGCAAAAGACCTGTCAGTCAAACACCATGCTAAAGCAATACTACATAAAGCCTAGCAGTCTCAGTGTCAGGGCCATGTAGCAACAAGTTCATTTTCAAAATTATGCCACAATTAACACCCTATAGGGGCCTTGTAGCTGCCATACAGCAACAACAAAAATCTTGCATTTCATGATCTTGTAAAAAATTGGCCCTATCTGCCACATCACGCCATGTAATGTCAAGACCAGAATAAGGCCATGTACAGCCATGTAAAACCATGTGGAATCACGTACGCCCTGTCGTAGAGGACAGGGCTGACTGTACCAGGTAAAATTTTGAACATTTCAATGATTTTTGCTCTACATTGTAGTGAGCCCCATGTAGGCCCAATAACTGCCATTCAGGTGCCTTGATTGATGTACTATAGCAGCTTCCCATCCCATATCTCATAATTGGATGAAGTGGCTCTTACGGCAATAGGCTTCATGTGAGATTGAGTATGTGCGTGTAGCATTAGAGCAGGTTTCCCCTGTCAGTAGGCCTACTTGATTAATTTCATCTGTTATCAGATGAATAGCTCCATAGTTACAGATTCCCAAAGGTGACTTTATGGACGTTCTGCGGTAATATTCATGAGCACCTTAGTTGTGCAGGGCTAGCTGGCTATATGCATTCACCATGCACAATGCCTGGTATTGTGGATAGTAAATACAAGATCGGCTGGCCCTACACAGCTAAGGTGAGCATGAACAGTGCTGTGGAATGTCCTTCAGTGTAGCCCTCACAATTACAATTGTAGTTTACCCTGATTAAAACATACAAATATATATACACTGTAAGGCAATGACGATATCACACAAATTTCAAGTAACATGAGATGAACTTCAAAAATTATCAAATCGTTCTATTCACGCTACTCATGATCACACAATCCTTTAATACATGTAGTAACCTTGATCGATTGGAAAAGAAAGGAACAATTCACATTAACTACTGTTAGCACTGCTGACAGAGATACTGTATTTATAAAAAGTACAGATCTTTATTCAAACGATACCTAAGAACTATACCTATGAAGCTATGTACTAACTATGTATGCCTTCTAAAACATGATCTACAGTTACGAACGCCAGGCAAAAGATGGCCCATATTATGATCAGAACAAGCCAGATTCTGTGCCTAAATGGAGACATGTGCTGGTGAAGGATCCACCGTTTGCCCATCATCCTCTCAGTCTTTTTCCTGCCACAGTACACCAGGAAGACGGGTATGAGGTACTGGATCGTGGCCCCGGCGTACGACCCCGTGATCCCGACCAGCATCGTGACGTTCGTCGTGACAAACGCAACGACTATGGGCGGCACCAGCACCAGGGTCGGGAACAAGAGCCGCCTGATCGTCCAATGGTAGAGCTTGTTCTCGTGCAGGAAGAGCGCCATCAGGTTGTTGCGTAGCGTGATGCCGATGATGGGGAAGTTGGTGCTGAGCGTGAAGACGGGGAACAGCGCGACAAAGTACTGGAGCGGGATGACGGGCAGGACGGCGCTCTTGAAGAAGTTGAGCGTGTAGATGTCTTGGATCTTGTCGCTCTCGAACGTGAAGATGGCCGTGACGGAGAGGAAGAGGTAGAAGAGGAGGATGAGGATGTAGTCTCCGAACAGGAAAGCGGTGATGCGCTTCTTGGGGTTGACGGGCGTGATGAGGGAGGGTAAGGAGTGGTGGCACATGAAGGCGTACACGCAGACCCCAAAGAAGTTGGGGATGCTCTCGAAGGGTCCCGTAGCGGCCGGTTTGATCGAGCTCTTTCCTTGGCTGATGTAGACCACAGAGGAGATGATCATTGTGAGGAAGGCTGAAATGATACAGTAGAAGAGAATAGAGTAACCAGATAAAGGATGCATAAAGGATGCAATATCATCATCACAAATTTTTCAATTATACTCAGTTGCACAGTGCCTTCGTCTTGTTCAATGTCAGATTTGAGTTATTCACCTACCATTATATGATGCTACATAAATGCACTTACACAACTCTGTTAATAAATATTTTAATTATCTACCTTTTAATAAAAAAATCTGAAATTCAACTATCATGTTTTCATTATTTTGTATCATTTTTTTAAAAGTTAAGTCACATGGATTGGAGAAGAAGAAGAAGATCTTTTTGTTATATTTATTTACTTTTTCCAGCAGCAATGTGGCTTCTTCAAAAACTACCATTGTTTAGTACTCACTCATTTCTTGGTTTTGACTTCACAAAAAAAAATTAACAGCAAAATAAAAAATTATCTGGATTTATATAGCACATTACCCGGGTCATCGGATTGATTAACGCACAATGTGCACCATCTCCACTCCCTGGGGAGTATTCCTACCATATGGTCACCATGAGGGCATATGGCAATTACTAACACAAGGGCTTTCTTCATCCTCCCAGGTCCCCATTACTCTCCTGGGTATGGAGTGGCAATGAACATTAATGCCTTGCCAAAAGACATTGGTGCCATGTCGGGGATCGAACCCACAACCTCTGAATTTCAAGTCAAGTGCTTAAACCACTCGACTGTGACACTTCTACTGTAATGAGAAATGTTCTTACCTAACCATCTCATGATGGTAGTGAAGATCTGAAGATACTTGGTTTTCTGGACGTTGAAATAGACAAATACTCCAAGGGCAAGTGCAAATATCGACTGAAAAAAGAAATGAAGAAAAAAAATGGTTAGAAATATCGTCACAAATCATTTGCTTCTTGAAATAGACAAATATTCTGAGGGATATTGCACATATTGACTGAAGAGATGAAAGAAATGAAAGAAATGAAAGAAATAAAGGGGAAAATGGTTAGAAATACAGTCACAAATCATTTGCCTTTTGGAATAGTTGAAATAGAAAAATATTTCCTAGGGATATTGCAAATATTGACTGAAGAGATGAAAGAATTGGAAGGAAAAAATGGTTAGAAATACCATCACAAATCATTTGCCTTTTGGAAGAGTTGAAATAGAAAAATATTTCCTAGGGATATTGCAAGTATTGACTAAAGAGATGAAATAAATGAAGGTAAAAATTGTTAGAAATACTGTCACAAATCATTTGCTTCTTGAACAACTACCTGTACTCCCAAGACCACCTGGGAAACCAATGTTTCAAATTTGTAACACATCAAGTTTATCTTGCGTTTAGATTACCTGGTATGACTTAATGTTTCCCCAACTTCATTTGTTTTTCTTTCACTGTACATCAATTAATTTTCTTGGAAATAGAAAGCTTTCTAATTCATCCACACGAGCTTGTTTGGGAAGAATGCATTAACATGTCGATCTAACTATGGCTCTTACTCCTTGTAATGTTTAGTAAATTGTTTAGGTTAAAGGATGAAGTTTTGATAAGAAAATAGTTTTTTACCAGATATATTCTGTATGCATTCATTCTGGATATATCAGCACCAGGCCAACACCGCTCATTGTCACTAAGATTGTGGGCATCACTGTCATACGTGCTGAAAATAAACAAAGTTATTAAGACAATGGATTAAATACCAATGTAGAATAATTCACTGCAGTTGAACCTTCATCATAAGTTGTATGGATCTACACGTAGGCTATTAGAATTATGCGTGAAATCTTGATTGTCTTACTTCTTCAGAACATTCTAGCGATAATTGGTGAATATATCTCTCTTAAAAGTACAAATTGCTTCATCCAACCAAAAGCAAACAAAAAATGATCCAATGGTACCTCATTGTGCCAGATCTTTGCAGAACACTTCAACACTTTTAGTAGTTATGACAAACCAAACCTCATGAAATCTTGATTTTGTTTTCAGTAACAACTTTCATTCCTGTTTCCATTAACCTCTGTGAATCATCGTTCATATAATTAAATTGTATCAATGCACCAATGACCACACTATCACATTCATCTCATTTGTGCATGACCATATTACTACGGTTTGAACTTCGAAAACAGTCAGATTTTTTTTTTTAAGTGCCCTCCACCTTGGAAAACTGCCTCTACTGAGTGAACTCTTTAAAGAAACAGGCTGGAACCCATTGGAAATACACTTTACATCGAAAATGACATCATCTCCAAAAGATTAAAACACAATGTGAAATATGTTACGGAACAATCTAAAATGAGGTTGACTTGTCAAACCAGCAAATTTTAGGTTGAAGTATCTCTCTGAATAAAGGAGCCATTTAAGGATTGCTTTCCGAAATGTATTCTATATTTGAAAATCATGACACTCTTTCTATGGAATAAAAGGCATTTGAGTTTTTAAAAAGTACCCACTTTATAAAATCCAGTACTAACTATTCACATATACAGGTATGCCTTGCAGGAGAAAGAATATTATTCATTAGGTAGAAAAGTATTTATTAAAATACATAACAATAATACCATCTTAAAGTAAATTTGTTATGGACAATATGCGTTACCATGTGATGTCTCTGAGCGACTTGGGAACGGCTACGGCATAGATGGCCAGGTCTCCGTACAGGTACACTATGAGACATATGTAGAACAGGATTTGACCAACTGAGGATTCAAGCATGATAGAAAGTATTTATTCATTCATTTGTTCATTTTATTTCCAATTCTTGTGAAAAATACATTCAACAATACATATACATATAAACAAATATATAAACAATACAAAGAATATGGAGGAGCCAGCAGAGGCCATTGGCCTTTCAAAGGCTGGGCTCCAATGGCCGCAGATAATTATACAAAGTAAAGAGAAAAGAAAGAGTGGGTAGTAAATAAACAAGTGTGTACAGGCTAATAAACATAAGATAGAAATCCCCTCATTAGATGATGTTTGTATTTTCGTTTGAAAATAGATTGGGAAAATGTAAAAGAGAGAAAGTGAGAGGGGAGAGAGAGAGAGAGAGATAGAGAGATAAAGAGAAAGAGAGAGATAAGAGAAAGAGAGAGAATGAAAAGAGAAATAAAGGGAGAGAGAGAAGAAAAGAGAGATAGAGAGGGAGAAAGAGAGAAAGAGATAGAAACACAGTGAGAGAGAGAGAGAGAGGGAAAAAAGAGAGAAATCATCACCGATTGAAAGCTGTCGTCCAATTTCAACAACAATACCATGCCAGAAGGCATACATACTTTTCATTAAATTTTCAAAAAATACATGTATTTATCGTGACTTTTAATTAAAGTTTATAATCTCTAGCATCTTTGTGACAGTCAAATTGAATTTTGTATGAAAATAAATCACCCATTGAAAGCTGTCGTACAATTTCAACAACAACAACAGCATGCCAGAAGGCATACATGCTTTTCATACAAAAATTCCCACAATACACATATTTATCATGACTTTTAATTAAAGTTTACAATCCCCAGTATCTTTGTGACAGTAAAATTGAATTTTGTATGGAAAAAAAAAGACAATGACAACCAAAAAAATAAAGTCCCTGACTTGAGCAGAGACTTATCTCATGTACAAAACACTTTCTTACAAATTTTTCAGTAAATATGAAAGGATTTTTTAAAAAATACATGTACTTTAACAAGCAACTGAAATGCTTGATTGAAAGCAATATATGAATTGAACATAAATCCTTGCAATTCTTCTCTCACAATTTGTCCTACTATCAAAACCAGGTTGTTCATTCTGATAGCCAAATTAACGGAAACTATTAAATCTGCGCTGCAATGAATACTGTCTGATATTGATAAATCTAATTTGAAAATCACAGGCAAAAAAACTGATGTGACACAATCTAAAGGATTGTGCATCTAGATTAAATGCACAACAAAAGGCCTCCCTTTCCTATGACCTTTTGAACATCAATGAAGCCTTTTGAAGTGAATGTCTCAAGGATTTTTTTTTCAAGCTGGAAGCGACGAATATTTCAAAGAACTTGAATTTGTACTTCATGTAAAAAAAACTACACTATGGTTTCCCTGCATTTGGAGTAAATTCCTACAGAAAAGTTAAATGTCAAGTTTGAAATAAAACTTGGTATTTTAATTTTGAAAGTTCAACGACAATCATTGTTGGTGAACTTTGTAAAAAACTGAGGGTGGTACACCCACCAGTTAAATTCATATGCAATCAACTAATATTAGATATGGACAGAAAAAATATTTCCCATTTTTCCTCATTTTTCTGTAAATGTGAGTTAATCAAGCAAGAAGTCATAATAGCAAAATTCTTTACGAAGACTTGAGGGGAAAAAAATTGTAAAATATAAATTGCCATTCAAGCATTTCATGTCAAGAAATAAATAAATAAAAGAAGAAAAAAACACCAAATATATCAAAAAAGAAATGATAATAGCAAAAATTCTTTACAAAGACTTTAAAAAAAAAAAATTGTAAAATATAAGTTGCCAATCAAGCATTTCATGTCAAGAAATAGACAGTTGAAAGAAGAAAAAAACGACCAAGTACAGTTTTAAATTATCCGAACAGAAAACTAGGGCAATAAAATTGCCATTTTTTACAGGTGTTCAAATGTTGATACTATTTGCAAAAATCATATATGCTATAAAAAGCAATAAGACACTCGAATATAACTCTGAAATAGAAAGATACGATATATGATTAAAAAGAATGGTCCCCCTAGACTCCATCTCCTTATTCCCCAGGTTTCCCACTTCAAGAAATATATGATGACAAAGCGTCTGTGTTTGACCTCTTCTTATATCAAGGGCATGACATTTCTAAAAACACTTTCTGCTGCATGAGTGTAGTATCACATCACATTGTCCAAATCTGGATATTCGATCATATTCCATCCTAGCTTCTTGCAAGCAATTTTTTAAAAAAATCCTCAAAGTCACTATTTTCACAAAAAGATGTAGGGGACAGCCACTTCCCCTCCCCCACCCACTCCACAACTGTGCTCTTTTCAGTAAGGTATATAGTTAACAACTGCATTGTTCATACCCTTTGTAAAATTGATGTTCTTTACGTTTTACATAACTCAAGAATGAAAGGAAGACTGGTTGAATTAGGGCCTTTGCTGAATATTAGATGTAAGCAAGCTTAAATACAGTATGTCACATTTTCAAAAAAATTGGGACGATCAATTTTTCACATGCCTTAAAAATTAATAATAATAATAATAGCTAATTCTTATATAGCGCTTTTCAAGACCGAAGGCCCTCTCAAAGCGCTTTACAGATACATATATTATTACCCCGAGCATCAGATTCAGGCTTACCCGCACACAATGCATGCACATTCTCCACTCCCTGGGGAGCATTCCAGCCAGGCGTCATTTTTACAAGCGCACACTTGCTAATCTAAGCACATTAGCTTTCGCATCCTACCGGGTACCCATTTAACACCTGGGTGGAGAGTGGCAAATGTAGATCAATGTCTTGCCAAAGGACATTAGTGCCGCGGTGGGACTTGAACCGCGGACCTTGTGATCCACAGTCCGTTGACATATCCACTCGTCCACGACACCTCTACATGAGCAAAATTACAAAACTTTGGTAAGGGTATGAAGAATGTATGAGCATATTTAACACTTTTTTGACACATAAAATTTTGCTTGTACCTCCTTTTTTCTTCTTGTGAATAATACATTTTCAAAAAATCGGGATGATCAATTTTTTTACATGCCTTAAAAATTACAAAACTTGGTAAGGGTATGAAGAATGGATGAGCATATTTAACACTTTTTTGACACATAAAATTTTGCTTGTACCTGCAAAATCCTTTTCTTCTTGTTAATAATACATTGTACAAGAGCATCACCTATGCACCCATCCCCTACACCCCCCCCCCCCTCTTCTCCTACTTCACCCACCCCTCCTCTGCAGAGGAGAAGCTTGCCACGGACATCAGAATGTCATTACTCACTTTTATTGAAGAACATTGAAGCCATCTGCCCCATATCCACCAGTTCTGTGATCTCAAAATAATCGGCATGCTTCTTCGCTGCTCTCACTACAACAAAATCAAGATATACAAAAAAAGGATCAGCCAATTTCCAAACACTATGGCACAAATTCACAAAGGAAGTTTGTCGACAAAAACCTAGGTTTGTTGTCAAACCTCCTTTGTGAATTCGGGCCTAAATGGCTTAAACTCATTTATTTTAGATGAAAAATCATTTCATTTTTGAAGAAATAATTACCGGTATTGCAATTAATCACTAATTATCATAATTTGTCTCCCGGAACTGTAATTAAAATCTGAATTTTTCTTCTGCATGAATGGATCTCTTGTCAGCCTTGTTAGTAATTATATTCCATCGTTCTTTCTTGGTGATTTTTGTACATACCGGTAAATGAGCAAACAGCATGGTTGTACATTCAATTAAATTGCAAAGCATTATCAAATATTCAAAATAAGTATTACTCAATATTTAAAATATTCATTACCACAAGTTTGTTAAAATCCCTCAAAGTCCACTTCATTCATCATTTCTCTGCAATAACTTTTCCTACATGTACATGTATACTGCCACCCATTTTCTGCACCTCCCATCAACATTTCTTTTTATGATTTAATTTGTATATTTAGAGAGAGGTGGTCACTCTTTAAAGCCCGTCTGTACTAGTTAGGCCAAGAGGGATTAGACCACCCTGCTAGTGACTGACAGGTGGTTATCTCATCAAATCAGCTCTCAATTAACATAAGAAAAAGTGGATCATGGGGGGACCAACGGGCACCACTTAGGCATTGTTTTCTATATAGAGGGAGCAAGTAGCTATAAATAGTGCAGTGGGGCTTTAAAAAGACAGTTCTGATTGTAACTAACCTGATGAGTAATTGATTGTGTTTCCACTGAGTAATTTTTCCTTCTCATCGTTCTCTGTGTCAGGTATGTATGGATCGCTGCTGCTAGAAGAGCTTGTTGAACTCGTCTCATCAAGCTGGAAAGCGTACGTAGAACAAAGAAAATACTTAATTACAGAATAATTACATTCAAATGCTACAATCATCATCAATGCCAAACTAATGATTTTTCTTTTCAATACAAAAACATACATATTGTCTGTTGAAAGCCAGAAGGGTGTTAACTCTGTGTTAAAGGATATGCGATAACCATGGCTCATCACTAACTTTTTTTTAAGGTTCTTGTAAATATGTGATTATCATGATTTGTTTTAATAAAATATACAAAGACGAAAAGAAAAGAAAAAAAATCTTTTTGGAAGGAAGTCAGGATCATACTCTTTATAGGCCGTATTTAAAGTATTTAAAAAATTTCACTACTTTGGGGGTCTCTACTACAATTTTAGGCGCCCATGTGTCCCGGGAACTTGTCGATGTCGAGCCCTGGGTTTTAAAATGCCCTTCTGGCTCCAAACAGCTGATACAATGAACTTGTATCTAGAGTTGCTTGGAAGTCCAATCATCTCACTATACCTGTACAGTTTCACATACCTTTTTCACCGTAGTTAGAGCACTTCACATTAAACATGTTTTATCATTATTTTCAAAATGAATGTGATTATAATTCACTACGTTGATTACCAATTAACTGATGTGTACATAGATTTAAGTAATTGTACAAGTTCCGTCCTGAAAGCAAATTTAAAAGGCATGCATTAGTTTATAAAAATCAAAGACTTTACATGCTCTTTGCTGTGTTTTGCTTTTTTTTCGAATCAATTACTACTTTGAATTTTCATTCATGCATAATTATGTAGAGAAGAACCTAGGTATGAAACGGCCATTAACAGTGTTTTGTTAAATCCAGATTGACACTGATTTGCTCCTTGAACTAACCAATTTCACCCCTGACTGTATTTTGTATGGCTATACATGTATGTGTACCACACAGTAATTAATAAAGTTAATTACATAGACATTATTTACAATTAGGTTAAATCACATTGAATGTTAATATACATGTATATACAAAACTATACATTTGAACATAATATTTTTTTTTTGGTACAGCACATTTTATGCAATATTCTGAAATATACTCTGGACACATGCAAAAATGAATGCCCCATATACCTTTCATGAATCGATTTCTCAAATCTTTGTCATTGTAAAGTTGTACTGCTAATCTGTGAATCAAATTTGTCCTTGTTTTAGGTCATGGTTTCATAGTCAACTGATAACAAACACAATCTGGGTAGGAAGTTGACTTCCAACAAAAAAGGTTAGATATTTAGCCCTTTGTGCAGAGATAAATATGCATTTGGTGACTACATTTAATTTTCTTGTAATCATGTTCTTTATATACACATACAGGGTGTATATATGTTTGTAGTGATTCTATTTCAATAAATCTCAGATATTGCCCTCCCGTTATTCTTTTCCCGTTATTCTCTCAAAATGGCTATGTAGTTCAACTCAAAAGCTATGGAATCAGAGCAATTTTGAAGTACCTTTGTTGTAATAGCTGGAAGCTCTGAACTAGCCCCCGGAGGCGATTTTGAGTCTGATTTTCGGAGTGATGTCGTTGTTGATGAAGGAGGTGATGATGATGATGATCGCACTTCTATCGACCCATCCTGTTTTTAAAACAATCTTGTTTCCTTACTCTTGTTTTGATTGTCTTAGCTGGCATGATGCCAGAGGGCAACCTCGTTACACCAGGGCGTTGATCAGATGGTTTATTAGTTATTCGATTAGGAATGAAAAGATGGGTCCAGTCAGCTTGGACGAAGCATCATTGATGAACCGGAAAAGTGACTGTCTGATTAGTTTGTTAATTATAATAATAATAATAATAATAGTGGGTTCTTGTATAGCGCTCATGTCTGTCAGACTTGACACTCCTAGCGCTCCTGATTATTACCCTGGCTGTAGCACGGCTACCATTACGGCTCTCTGGCATTTCAAGGAATTAATTCCCGCCAAGTACCCATTTACATCACCTGGGTTGAGTGTGGCAAATGTAGATCAATGTCTTGCCAAAGGACACTAGTGCCGCGGCGGGACTCGAACCGCGGACCTCGTGATCGACAGTCCGGTGACATATCCACTCGACCACGACACCTCTACAATTGATTGAATGAAAGATTGAGTGACTGATGACTTGACTAAATATCTGACTTACTGATTGATCTGCTTATTCTGTTTTGATATATTGGTGACCAATACAATTAAATGATTGTGTAAGAGACTTTTTGATGATTTCTTGATCAAATGACAGAATCGTTCTTGATTGGCAGGATAATTGATTAATTCATCAATTTGACAAATGTTTATTTGTTTGACTGCTTGATTGATTCAATAATTTTCCATTTAAATCATTTCTATTGGATGGTTGTTTTAATAATTGATTGATCAATTGAATTCTAATTAATTGATTAGATTATTATTCAGCATATCGCTTGGTTCATGAATTGGTAAAGAAATTGACTGATTGATTGATGTAAATGGATGTCTTGATTCAATAGGGTAATTCATTTCAATAACTGCAATAATAACTGACTGGTTCTTTGATTTATATGGTTGAGTTGTTGATTGGTATATTGAATGACTGATCAATTGTATTGCATATTAGTTTTCTTCATGAGTAAGCTAAGTCTATTAATTAATGCTGATTGTTGAACTATTGGAAAACTGATTATTTGATTAACTGATTATTTGATTAATTGATTATTTGATTATTTAATTAATTTGTGGTACATGTTAGTTTCTTTTAAATTTTCCAAGTCTTTGCTTGTTTTTCAATGTTAGTGCCAGACTTACCCTATCAAAGGAGCCATTATAGAAGCTATGCATATATGACAGTTATTGAATTCGATTTTTAGATCTCAAGTTGATTTTGATATTGAGCACTGTATGACTAATAATGATAATAATAACTGTTACCAGCGCACAGTGCATTGAAAGAAGTAATCTTACCAGGTACCCATTTACCTCACCTGGGTTGAGTGTAGCAGAAGCATATTAATACCTTGCCAAAGGACAGTAGTGGTGCAGCGGGGACTCAAAACCATACCTTGTGGTTCACAGTCCAGAGACTCACCCACTAGAGCACAACACTTCTACAACACCTCTTTTAGGCTCATTCATAAATCTTTTCTTTCCGAATCCCGATTCAAGAAAATATTCAGGTAACCATTGTATGTGTACAGCTAAAAGTGACACTATCTTGGATTTTATATAGTTCGTTTGATTTTTTTTTTAAAGCATGAAATTTAACTGTTTATAGTCATTATGATATAATATTTTATGCATAGGATTTATAAATGTAAAATGCAATGCCCAGATTTGATTAAAGACATGTTGATTTTCTCCAATAGCATAATAGATTAGTTTATGTAAAGAATAATAGCATAATAGATTAGTTTATGTAAATAATAATAGCATAATAGATTAGTTTATGTAAAGAATAATAGCATAATAGATAAGTTTATGTAAAGAATAATAGCATGTGACTGAAATATAATTCTTTCAGAAAAATATAATTATCCATTACATGAAAATTGTGATATCAAGTGTTAAAGGTAATACAAAGTTTTGGTATGGGGTCATGAATTTGGTTCAAATGAACATATTGGAAGCATATACGATCCTACAATATTCAGAGATCGTTGTCGCGGTCGAAATCGACTCTCAAGTTTTGAAATTGTAAATAATAAACGCTTTATGTTGAATAGCTCCCTCTCAAGGTCAAGATATCAATTAAGCTATAAAACAATGTTTATTGACTAAAATCGACCGATAAGCTATTCTCGTTCAAAAATTATATACCACAACTACATACTCTGAGATTTTCATGGTCGCAGCTACCATTGTACGGCCGTAGGAGCTATTTGAAATTTATCTAAATTTACCGGGAGCACCGGTAAATCTTTATATTCAATTTTTCTCGAAAGCAGAAGTGTTTTAGGGGCTAAAATTTCTGGTGATTTTAATACATCCACAGGGGCATCCAAACATATCCAAATTGTAAAGAATCACTATCCACCCATTTTTCAAAATTTCCCAAAACTTTGTAATACCTTTAAGGTATTGCAATACCGGTAAACTAAACCAGGCACTAAAAGAGCATAGTAAAGCAATTGGCCCATGCAGCAACAAAAAAGCAAAACTTAAGAAAGATAATGAAGAGCATGCACAAAAATCAAATTTCCCTGGATCATAGATGAAACTCTGAAACAAAATCAGCAAACAATGTCATTGGAAAAAGTAACATAAAAAATTGGCATTCTTTTTAATAATGTGATCACAGTTAAAACAACAAAATTGTGAAAATGAACATCATAATTAGTTCTGCTTTTGCTTCTTTTCACTAGGTTTTAATAGCTTGAATTCTTTGCAAATATCAACAAGGCTTACGTACATTGTACACCATGGAACTGATGTGAGAAAAGATTATTTAAAAAATGAAGAGAAGTACACACTATACAACTCTTGTCATTTACATGTACATGTATGCTTACAGTGTTAAAGAAAATGTTCTTCTTCATTTTGTTTACCTCTTCTTCATATTTTCTTTCGTCAAGATGTTAAACAAATACAATTTGACCTTATATACCCGCATTCCATGCTGAAAAGCAGTCTCAAAGAGTACAGTATAAGTCAAACTTTGATCTACATTTAGTTTTAAATAAGTACGAAGAGTAAAGATTTGGTATTGCTTTTTTTTTATTTTACATGCAACAGGATCCATGATGTCTGCACCAAGTGACCCACTTTTTAAAAATTAAAACTTTTAAGTTTAAAACTCATAAAAAAAGCAAAACCATGACATGTGTCACCACTATAATTTGGAGTGGACTTTAAAAAGATTATTATTATTATTATTAAATAAGAGATGGAACCATTCTTCCTCTATATCTTTTTTTGAAATTTTGCTGTAAAGTTATTCATCTTTCTTTTTCTTTATTATTGCTCCATTCTATTTCCTCCCCCCTTTCTCACTCTACAATGTAGTTTTTCTTCTTTTTCTTCTCCTTTTCATTCTTCTCCTGCTTCTGCTTATTATCAAAAGCTTTCCTGTATGCTACATTTTATGAGTGGGTCTGCACTATTATCTCTAGATGCCATATCTCTTATCCGTCCTTCCCAAAAGGCGCATCTTCATCATCTCGAGATTGCCAAATAGCCCGCTATTTCTGATTTGGGAAATAATCCTGAAGTTACAAATCGCGTCTTCATCAGCTCGAGATTCAACCTCGAAACTTGAAACTCGACCTTGAGAAATCAGCTTGAGATATTTTGCACAGCATTGGCGCATAGTGCAAGTCTTCGTTCTGGTGAAGACGCACAGGACAAATAGCTGGATATTTTGCCAAATAGTGACATATTTTGCAAACTATCTCAAGATATCTTGGGATGACAATCCGACCAAATATCCTGTTAATTGCTACTTCGGTCTGAGGAAGACGCAAATTAGCTGGATAGTTTGCGATCGGGATAGTTAAAATAGCGAGCTATTTGGCAAACTAGAGCTGATGAAGACATGGCTAAAGTGAACTGCCTCTTTAATAGCAAGTGCTTAAAAATGTGACTTCCACATTGCAAATCATTAATCACCCCCTAATCACTACATCTAATGGCTTGATCTAACAAAAATGTGCATAGTACGTCCCTATTCTCACAAAGTGATGCGTGACGATTTTCCTCACTACCATCACTTTGTGAAAATAGGGACGAGTAGTCTAGTGGTTTGCCTTGTGAATGGTGATCTGACATTTGCTCCACGGACAATTGCTATGGGCTTCATTTCACCAAAGATAAAGGATTAAGGTTAGAGTTAGGTTTATGATCAGGATTAGAGTTAGGTTTAGGATTAGGATTAGGGTTATAGTTGGGTTTAGGATTAAGATTAGAGTTAGGTTTAGGATTAGAATTAGGTTAAGGATTACGGTTAGAGTTAGGTTAAGAAATAGGGTTAGAGTTAGGGCTAGAATTAGGGTTAGAGTTAGGTTTAGAATTAGGGTTAAGGATAGGTACAGTGTTTGGCCTAGGTTGACATATGGAATTTGGTTAGGGTTGGGAATTGTCCGCAGAGCAACTGTTGCCGTAGCATGTGCCGTACAATCCCTAAAAAAAAACATTTTCAGTGACATCAAGATATAGTACTACATGAACAATAAAAAGAAAAGGAATTAAAATTTAAAGAAGTAGACCCTTTTCCCCTGAATATAATTGTATAAGTTATGGATTCCCTTGAAGTATCTAGTGCCCATGTTAAAGCATGCATCTTGGATTAGACCAGAAACTTACCTTAGATAAACGAGGGATATAGTCCTTTTGAGTCGGAAAACAAGTTCAAATATTTATTAGAAGCTATACAGAGTACATTTAGAAATGAGGAATATATTCCTTTTGAGTCAAAAACAAGTTTTAATATTTTAATAGAAGCTATACAGAGTTTATTAAAAAAGGAGGAATACTTTCCTTTTGAGTCGAAAACAAGTTTAAATATTTATTAGAAGCTATACAGGGTACATTTAGAAGCTCACTAATTACCGAGTCTGCATCATTATCATTCAATGTTGGCAAGTTTAGCTTTTTTCTTTGTATTTGAGGAGAAATACATTGGGATTTAGGGCTTATGACTTAAAACCTGTTTATGCAATTTAGCATTTCTATTCATACATACATGTATGTATAATCTCTCGTGTATTCTGTAAGTCAACCATAAGGTATACTGACCTACATGTCCAGTTGAATAAGCAAATTCTGTTTCTGGATATCTTTTAGTTTTGTTCGAATTTTTGTTATCGTTTTTTGCTATCTAAGGCCAAATAACAAAAACAACTTGTTTCTCATCCGGACTTTAACAAAAAAGGAGGAGGCAGGGCATTACTATTTTGCAATTTCTTGCTTATGGCTGCCATGCTAATGGCCAAGCCTATCTATTCACAGATATTGAGCTATGTGAGTTTACTGATCAATGCACTGTATGACTAAACAAATCATTGGAATCACTTTAGAAGCCATTTAAACAAAATGTACATCACAGGCTTTTATTGGCTTTTGTGTGGCTTTTGTGTGGCTTTTTTTCCCAAAAGAGGCGGACGGGGACGAGAAACACTTTTGTTATTTGGTCTAATGACCACATAAAACACCACCATTATCAACAACAATGTACACTCCTACGTTGTATTATTACTACTACATGTACTTCTACTACTACTACTACTAAGACTACGAGTACTACTACTACAACCACCACCCCCCCCCCCCCACTACTACTACTACGAAATGTGCTATCATAATCATCCCTACTACAACTAATACTTACACTGCTTATAACTCTACTACTTCTATTTTGACTATTCTTATCTAATATTCTATACTTGAATTTGTAATTGGCATGGAAATATGGGATAGTTGATAAACTACCTCAAAACCGTGTTGCAGGGGAGTTCAAATTGCTTACACTGCTTATAACTCTACTACTTCTATTTTGACTATTCTTATTTTGAATTCTATACTTGAATTTGTAATTGGCATGGAAATATGGGATAGTTGAAAAACTACCTCAAAACTGTGTTGCAGGGGAGTTCAAATTGGGTTCTATTAAAACAAATATTAGAAAATAGGTCCAAGGTCTTAACGCTCATCAGAACCGACAAAAGTAGGGGGCCTCGCAATGAGAGACCTAGCTCCCATCCCCTTTGCACAGGGAACATAGGATTTATTGGAACAGGAGGGCAATATAGGGGTGCTGCTCCCAAGTCCCTTCCAGGGGCAGGTATCCCATTCATACAAATTTAGGTTTTCTTCACATTAAAATAATTTCTACAAATGTTAAGCCAGAATCCACACCAACATTCACATTTTGGTATGAAATCATATCTACACTTCATGATATATCAGAATATGAAATAAAAATGTGTTTAACCAACATCTTTGTTTGACATTGAACAATTTTTAAAATCAGTTTTCGACAGTTTTCGACAGTTTTCAAGATTTTTGAGCGGGCGTGCATTCAATTGTTAATTTTGCCATGTTTACATTGCGGATTGGCTGGTGGATATTGAAGGCTCACCCCTTGTAAACTTTAGATCTCCCTTTCCTGAAGGTGATGCCTACAAGTCTTGGTAGAATCCAGCCATGGGTTCAAGAAGAAGAAGAAGAAGAAAATGTGCAATTACTGCCAATGAGGAACTTTGAGGGGGCTACCCCCAGTCCCCCCTTTTGGGAAGTTGGGGTTACGTACCCTATTTCAACCACTTAAGATCTCCCTTGCCTAAGGATGATTCCTATTAAGTTTGGTTAAAATGACTTCTGAGAGGAACTTGAAAATGTCAAAAGATTACGGAAAACAGACAAAAACAGCTCACTTGAACCTTTGGCTAAAAAGTAAAATTCTACAAGTTAGTGGACTGACCTCTCGTTTCTTATCCTTCCTGCGGTACTTGATGATCCCGTTAGCTGCGGCCATGGCCTCGATCACAAATGTAGCGGTGATGTAGCTGTAAAATATCAACAACAAAAACAAATTGTAAATGAAGGACATCAAGATCTTTTGCAATGCATACATCTATACTTAGATTTCTATGTATGTAGATATGTAGATATGTAGATTTCTAAACATGTACACTGTATGTAGATTTCTAAACATGTACACTGTATGTCGATTTCGATATGTATATGCAAGGGGAATAGAAGGCTATACTCCTGTTTGGTAGGCTAGATTCCTTATAGGAGTGACACCCAACAGACCTGTTTCAGCCCAAGGATTGAGTGGCTACGTACAGCCCATCATTTGTGGAGGTGTCGTGGTCTAGTGATTCATTCACTTGACTCTCAATCCAAGGGTTGAGGGTTCAAATCCCAGCCTGGCATTAATTTCCTTTGGCAAGACATCAATCCACATTTGCTACTCGATCTCCATTCCGGTGTGAATGGATACCTGGCAATAGTTGGGGTAATAATAACTGCAGGGCCCACTGAAATAATTATTATCTAGAACTTTAAGATAACGGTATACATTTATCAATTTCAAAAATGCAAATTGAATATACAGTATAAAGATTAAAGGGTAATAAACCATATGACACCAACTACCGGTACAGGTTTCTTGTTTCAAAGTTTCTTGGTTCATTACTAGTGTCGGGACCTTTTAACCATGTTGGAAAGATTATATCCCTACTAGCATACACATTATCACAAACTGATTATGATTGAACAAACCAGCAAACAGCAAAAACAAGATGAGTAACAATATGAATACATGTATATATTAAGCATATCTTTTGTCATATTTGATAAAGTATGATGTGCGAGAAAAAATATCTCTCCAGCAGTTTAAAGGTAAAGACCAGTTATGGTCATGCGATTGCATTGTGAAAGAAACGTTGTGGAATCGATCAGAAAAGGTTGATCATCTAGCATCTAGCATCTGCAAGGTTCTGGAATCATCAAAATGATAAGAAATTTGGCCCATTCTTCGTAAAGTTACAAGCACTAAACACAGAAAGATGTATATGGGACTACCCTATATCTCTCACAGACCATGAGAGAAACAAATTTACCAAATATATGAATTAGTAGGCGGTTTCCCGGCAAATTTGTTATCATCATGTATTTAATAGTCCAAACATATTCTTTCACATGATTGGTAATGAGAGCTTCCATTTCATTTTTTGAAATTGGGGCGTTTCCAATACTGGTCTTTACCTTTAAGTACATACTGTACATGTGTATAATAGATTATGTTACATTCTTTATCTCGATCACCATCATATACAGTTCAGCGACTGCACATAAACAATTACCTAGCTCTAAGGGACAGACACCATTATATAATGTGTAGATACTGTTAACAATGTCTACTGTGTGAGCCTTTCTTCTCCCTATCAATGTTTAACAGGTTATCACTTTGATAGCAGTTGTCAAATCAAACAGATTCACAAGTCAGGGTTTATGTGTTTGGTTTCAGTATCATTGTTTTGTCTTCTTCCCATCCTGAATCATAGTCATCTCAATAGGGTTCATGTAAGTCATTAAAAACCACATATTTAATGCATAAGATATTAACCTAATGTCCCGAAACTCATCTTTGACTAGAAGAAGCAGTACTGGTTAGGGCCACTGGCTTTTATGTGTATCGTAAGTATGAGTATTGTATTAAGTGCCTTTGTCTGTGCCCTTAAAGATGAAGTTGAGTTCTGGTCATGCGATTGCATTGTGAAAGAAACGGTGTGGAATCGACCAGAAAAGGTTGATCATCTAAGACATCTAGCATATAAAAATTTGTGTGTATTGCAAGGTTCTGGAATCATCAAAATGACAAGAAATTTGGCCAAGTCTTGGTAAAGGTACAAACACTGTACCGGTACACAGAAAGATGTATATGGGACTTCACAAACACGTGGCGTAAAAATCCTACCCTGGATTTTTACGATGTTACATGACATATTTAGAATATGAAGGCATTTGAAGAGCCATGCTTTTCAGGGAACATGTCTTATCTGATGTTCTTCCACACATTTGCATAATAAGAATGATAACGCTCACAAATTATTTTTCACCTCTTCCCAGAACTCAACCTTCTCTTTAAGTTACTTTACGTATATTACACAAGCTGATCATGACAAAACTTCAATTTTCAATCTCCTGCTAGCCAAAAAAAAAAAAATCTTTTCCTTTCCTTGATTGATTGTATATTGTATAAAACACTGATGAATATTTATACATCCACAACAACTAGGAAAGAAAAGAGATCTCGATATAAGCATGAACCTTTGTATTAGGTTCATGATATAAGGATGGCAGATCTAAATTAACATGTAGATCGAAATGGCATTTTTCATCATAGATCCAGCTTAACTTGGACAATATACATGTACAGAGGATTTAAATATTCATGAAATCAACTACTCAACTTGCATCGATCCTACAATCTACTTTGTACAACCCATGTTCTGTATAATATGGTAGGCTTCCCTCTAATCTAGGCTTGGCACTTCCAATTTGAAACTAATCCTGGTTATATAAGTAATATGAATAAATTTTATAGGGCATGTAACGATAATTCAAGAGAAATGAAAGAACTCTAGGCAACCAAGCGAAGTATCAACCTACTTCAAAGTATGAGTTTAATCAATATATTGTTGAATACGGGTACATTTAAACCAACTGAAACCCAATGAAACTGTGTATGAAAAGTATACTAGTGAAGTTTTCTCTCATTTGCTTTGACTTATCTATCTATTGTTGAATACATTCAACCAATCAAAACCCATTGAAAGTTTAATACTGTGAATGTATTAAGAAAATGAATCTCAACATAGGATTTTGATAAATATATTAAATCTGGTATTGCCTTGCAATGCCCCTACCCCAGCACAAACCTAACCAACAACATCAATACTAAATTACAAACCTAAGAATTATCAGAAAGGAAATTGTAACCTCCAACACATGTTTCAAATCGCTGAGATTTTTTCAGAAAGTAAGAAGTTATCATCTCCCTCAAAGATTAACCCGGGCATAACATTCAACCTCTCTCAGCTTGGTGCCTGTTGGGCAAACATTCCAACTCATGTTCCCCTCATTTGACAGTCTTTATTTTCCATCCTAAATCAATAAAGGTGCATCAGGAGCGCAGACTCTATTTCCAAGTCATATATGCAAAGCTCCCATTGATATGTACATGCATACCAGAAGACCTAAGAGAATACTTTCTTGTAGATAATAATACTAATTATAATAATAATAACGAAAAAATAATAAATAACAATAATAACAACAACAAAAGAAAAAATGATAATAGTAATAATAAAGTAATAGTCACATTTGAATAGCTCTAAATCTTCTTAAGCGCTTTAAATTGTAATTATTATCATTAGTCTATAAATAATAATAACAATAATAATAATGATTCCAAAAATAATAACAACAACGTCATGATGCGATCGCAGGTATTGTTGACATGTTGTGTTTACCCATTACCTCAAATTTATGCATATCAAATGTCATTCAGAAATGTGAACAAAATATGGCCAATATTAGAAATTAACAAAATGTGGCCGAGATGACGTCACGCATCAGTAATAAAAAAAAATCTCTTTGTTAGGCACAATAACCATACATATGCCACGTACATGCCATGAAAGTTTCACGGTCATTCACCATGCCATTCATGTATCCACGAAACAAAATCCATAACGAATGAATAGCAGGAAAAAAAGAAAAAAAAATGTTTGGAAAAAATCAATAGGTGCTCTAGCTGCCATGCTTCGTGGCAGATCACCTAATAATAATAGCAATACGGTATTCACATTTGCATAGCTCTTAATGCTCTCAAGCGCTTTACATTGTAATTATTATCATTAGATGTCTATTGTCTAGCTTGTAAAGTCCCACGTTAAAAGGAAGGAAGAGGACTGATAAAGAGAGAAGAAAATGATGATAATCCTGATTTATGAGATACAGTACATGCATGTACAAGTTAAAAACTAAACTCTGCACACCCCTTGTAAATTTGATGTTTGTTGTGTCTTCCGTAACTAAAGAATAAAAAATGGACTCTTTGAACTAGGGCCTTTCAGAGGTAAGCTTTAGTATGTCACATCCTCATCAAGAAATATAAATCGGGACAAATCAACTTTTCACATACTTCAAAAATTTAAAAACTTGGTAAGAATAATTTAGTTGTACCGGTAAACTGTATGTAATATGTTAATCCTAAGATGATAAAACACTGTCTGTAAAACAGACAAACAGTATGAGAGAAGCAATTGAAAGTAAATAGGAACGCCAAACAATACTCTCCTATTTCAAATTCAAATATCAAGAAGTAATACTATCTCCTAGACCATGAGATTTAGGCCACATGTCTGCGTAATCCAATAACATTATTACAAATGTTTGTGATTGGAAGGAAGATAGTAAAGATACATCATGTAGTCAGTACTTTTTAACTCATATAACAACACACTCCATCTTTTAAATTAAAAACAGAACCCATGTAGCACATATAAAGTCTGCAAAACGTTTTTGAACTAAATCTTTGGGATAGATGTCTCTTACTATTAAAACAAAAAATGAAATTCTTCTCTTTCTTGGTTTTATCTGATACATATGATCCACATATGGGTTCAAAGTTCAAACTACACATATGGTATGACAATGACACTAATATCATCTTCTCAGAGGCTGAAGCTAAATCCATTTTCTCATATCAATAAACTAGACCCCGTTCTCACTCACTTTGAAAGTGGTCTTAGTTAGACCGCTCCAGAGGAACGGGTCTTGAGGAACTGTTTGCGAGCGTTCACACTCCGAGCAGTTTTTTATGGCTCAAACCGCTCCACGAGTCAAAGTGGTCTTGTTGCTATGGCAGCTCAGGTCAGCAGGTCAATTTTTTCGCGCCCGGAATACAAACCGTATACATGTTTCGAACGGAACGTCACTAGCTCACTTCCGGTCAAAGTACGCTTCCGTTCACATTGCACGTTAGAGCGGTCCAAACCGCTCTTAATAAGACCCATTCCTCAAGACCACCTCCCGAGGTGGTCTTCTGGAGCGGTCCAGAAGTCCACTTCCTGGACCACTTTGACCGTTCTCACTCACTTAAGAACTGCTCCTGAGGAACGGGTCTTAGTTAGACCGCTCCAACAAAGTGAATGAGAACGGGGTCCTAGTTAATGCCCTTCTGGCTCTAAACTGATGTTTTATACAACAGGTTTGAGGTACATAAAAATGTCACTTGAGCTACCAGTAACTTTTGTGATAGATGTCTATTACCTAACAAAAATAATCTTGTCTTTCTTGATTTTAATCGTCACAATGTGCCCAACAAATGGTTCTGTGGTATGACAATAACAAAATACTATTTGCTCTGAGCCAGAAGGTTGTAAGTTCATATATGAATCAACCGAGAGTTAATGCTGTTCTGGCTCTACACTGAGGTTGTGTAGAAGTTTCAAGTATACAACAGGTTTGAGCTACCATTAAAATGTAACTTGAGCTTACTCTTTGTGATAGATGTCTAATACAAAAACAAACAAAAATTATTGTCTTTCTTGATCATATGTATTGTATTACAGTGTGCTCCGCAAATAGTTTTATGGTATGACTATAACAAAATACTCTTTGCTCAGAGCCAGAAGGTTTAAGTTCATATCAATCAACTGAGAGTTAATGCTCTTCTGGCTCATAGTAGGTCCATGACATAGCTGACTCAGCTGAGTCAGCTTCAAGAAACATTCATGAAGCTACACTTGGTGAAAGGTGTCAAATCCATGATTTGATGTGATCGGTAAGACAGGTGGTCCTGGAGTCTCCTGGAGAGAGATCAGAATTCCCTAGATACGAAGTATTTAATATGATGTCAAAACAACACAGCTGCCCTCTGACCTTTGACTTCCTGCCCCCTCCCCCCCCCCCCCCAAAAAAAAAAAAAACATTTTGGAGAAAAAAGGAATAGGTACATGTAACTAACATTCTTCTGTTTTCTTCACAAAACTGCTTCTCATGATTAAGTTTTGGATGGTACATAATTACGGTAAGGCTATGTTTTCTTTTCTTTACCGACAATCATCCTACATGTATAATAATAATAATAATAATAATAACAATGGGTTCATGCGCTCATGTCAGTCACATTTGACCCTCCTGGCGCTCCCGATTATTACACTGGCTTTAGCACAGCTGCCATACGGCGCTCTAGCATTTCAAGGAATAAATTCCTACCAGGTACCTATTTACTTCACCTGGGTGGAATGTGGCAAATGTAGATCAATGTCTTGCCAAGTTACTTTTTCTACTATTATTTCCAACATATGGCTCTGATTTCGATTTGTCATTTAGTTTTCTTGCCTTCACCTGAAGTTTCCTGATTTCAAAGTGGTTAAGTTAATGGTGAAAACAAAGTTCAAGGCTTCTCTATGAACTTTTAAAACTTCCTTTTCTTTTCAGACAGCCATGACCTGACCTTCTAGATATTGATTGTATTGTAATGGTATCTGAGGCTTTTTCAACTCCATTTTTCCAATGACCTAAACCAAAAGTACAATATATTGCACACAAGTTTAGCAAAATAGGCAAAGGTATGAGCGCTATACAGTATACAGGGTTGGTGGGTCTTTAACACACAATTCACATAATTAACCCGTTGGCTACTGAATTATCCAATTCCCATAGAATTAACACAGGGACCACCAGGTTCCAGTAAGCAATGGGTTAAAACAAACACATTTTTGTCAACCCAATGAAGATGCATTTTAATAGTTGATACCCCTAATAAAACAACCCAAGCACAAAGAGTTTTTTATCAAATTATTCTTCATTTAACTACATAGTACCTACATGTTACTCAAACTTCTTGAATCAATCATCAACTTGTTCATAATTATGTTGACAGTGCAAATATATTTTGATGATTTGGGCAAAACATTAACTACAGTATATATTTGCATATCTTCCATTAAAAGTAGGTCTCTGGGTGACTCGTATAATACAAGGGGGGGTGTTTCACAAAGACTAAGATCGACTTTAAGTTGGACTTAACTATAACAGGCCATTCATGCCACTGGTTGCTCTCACTATTGATCTCTCATTTATGACTTTTACATAATATTTTTTCCTTCAATAATGAATTATCAAAAAATGTAAATTCTGTAGATCCTGTGACCATGATTTATACGTCCCTTCAGAGGCCAATGCAAGTAAATGGTAAGAGCAAACACTGGCATGAACGGCCTGCCATAGTTAAGTCCAACTTAAAGTCAATCTTAGTCTTTGTGAAACACCCCCCAGGAGCAGCAAATAGGGGTATGCTCCAGAAGTACGAAACTGTAAATACAGTAAATATAGCCTAAACAACTTTTGGATATGCAGTTCTAAATGTATCCTAAAGCAAAAGGTCACTGAAATCAAATGAATTTTCTCCTCAATTTCTGATGACCACAAACTATTACACCAGCCTAGACTAGGAACAGAATTCCTATTGCAAACCTACACTGATTTTCCTTATATTAAAAAAACTAAACATAAACAATTGTTTTCAACATTTCTAGGGATGTCATTTTAATGCAAACTATTACAAGAAAAGTTAATCAAACGATTTAACTCCTTTCCTGATCATGGAGAAATTCTAAATAGTACCATAAACACTAACACACAGCTGTAAAAACAAAAGGCAATTTAGTTTTCAAGGTATTTTATCCCTTTACAATACATGCATTATTAAAGATTTTAGTACTTTTGATGATTACATAAATTCTGTACAGTGTAGCTCTACCAGAGCTCAGATCAGATCAGATCAAATATAAAGAAAAAATGATACACTCATAGTATAAGCAGGGTTTTACTTTTAAGCAGGGTTTTGGGCAGCGTACAATATCCATAAAAATAAACTATACGATAGTAACGCAATAGTGCACCTCGAGTGCACTACAAAAGTTAGTGCAATAGAGGTGCACTAGGTGCACTTTATGGGCCGAGATAAAGTGCACCTCTACTGCACTAACTTTTGTAGTGCACTAGAGGTGCACTATTGCATTACAATCGTATAGTTTATTTTGATGGATATTGTACATATGTACAATGTATAGCACCATTGGTGCTCTACCAAGCATGAGGATTTTCAGGAAAAATAATGCCAAGGGCGAAGTAGAAGGCATTGAGAGAAAGAGCATTATAAATGGCAATGACTTTGAACAATACTATTGAGTTCTGCTAAAGTTAATACCTCAAAGCATATGGACAATGGATGTACAAAACTGTTTGAATCCTCACAAATCACCCCTGGGAGTGTTTTACAAAGACTTAGATCGACTTTAAGTTGAACTTAACTAGTGCTGTAACATCACGGATATCTCCAATTCCGTTTAACCGCCAGTCAAAACTGGACGGTTTTCGTTTAAATGATTTTAATTTTTTTTTTTTTTTTTTTTGACCGACTCTGGCAGCAAGCCAGGTCCGTGTGAAAAAGCGGGAAGGACTTTCATTTAACTGCGAGGTGCATTTGAAGGCGCCGATTTGTGCTTGTGAACTTGTCACAAATAATAGTAACAATGTCGTTTTTAGAAGAATGTGTAAGATCATTAATGTAAATTAAAAACAGTAGAGGACCTAGGATAGAACCTTGTGGTACGCCGTGTGTAAAAGTTGGATGAATTATTATTATAAACTACACCCTGTACATATTGAGATCTATTACAAAGATATATTTCATTTTTATGAAGTGCCTTTTCATAAGATACAAATGGCATAAACCAGAAATACTTGCGAACAAACACAAAGAGAACATTATCATACATGTACAACGCTTACATCGATTTTAAACAAAGAGAAATATTGAAACAAAGAGAAATATCGAAAGAAAGTAAAAAAGATATATTTTCAGACATTTCTTGAAAGGCTGAAAGCTGTGAGAGTATGGCAATTCTTTAGTACAAGGGTATTAACTGGGTTCCCGGTTTTGGGGGGCAATAACTGAAAAAGCCCTATCACCCATCTGTTAATACCTGCTCAAAGGTTGGTAAATGTATTACTTACATAAATTTAACAACTTTCTGGCCCTCATAATTCAAAATTATAATTCCTACCTGACAAGGGCTAGTACGATGATGATGACTGAGCTGAGTATCCAGCCAGCTTTCCCGAACGCCTTGGGCATAGTCAGCGCCCCTGTGCCCACGATGAGGTTGAAGACGAATATCAAACCAACCTGTGTGCAGAAGAATAAAAATTTGTCTCAGATAACATTACTATCGATTTACACATACATCATTTACATGGTGTATTCATGAAATTTGTCTAGAAATGTGTATCGCTTTTCATCAATTATAACGATTCTTCACTATTTTATTTCTGTTCCACTAGACCTAGGGCCTACTCCAAAATTACAAAGTACATTTCATGTTTGTTTTGTAACCGTAATGTGTTTTTTCTTTCTTCAAGCTTAATCATGATGACAACAATAATAATAATGCAAATAATAATAATAATAATAAAAATATTAATAATGGTATTAATAATTAATGATAATAAAATATAAATATTAATAATAGTCTAGTCTCTAGTCTAGAGTCTAGACCTGATACTGGTGATAGTGATAACAATTATAATAAAATAATAGGACCTAGGCCTAGAGCTAGAATCTAGGTCTAATATAAATGATAATAATAATGTGCTTTTGTCAACAGATCTGATGATAATTGCAACTGCAATTTTGACATACAATTGTTTTTTCTGTTACCATACATACTGACTTGAACCTATTCAGTATCTGAATTTCAGTTACATACATGTATTCACAAACCGAATTTTTTTTTTACTCACGCAATTGTAAACACGTGGGACCGAAGTATAGTTTTGTCGCTATTTATACAACAGCTGCCCGGATTTTCTACAAGTAATATGGACCAACATTCACTACAGAATACTTACCCATGGTGAAAATGATGTCCCTGGTTCTACTAAAGGTCCTGCCATTGCTAATGAATCCTCGAAAAGTCTGTTTAGAAGTGGTGCATTATCCACGTACACAGTCACAACCGTACAGACCGAAATCTAGACGTAGACTGTAGACAAGCCACAGATTTCAGTCAGCTGATCAGGTGATCATTATTTTCCGTATCATCACACTGCCTGTTTGTATAGGTTTAGAAACCATGTACCAGCAAAGATCCTATCACGTGTTTATCAATAGACGGTCTTTGTACATTGTTTAGTCCCTGAATAATGTTCCTGTTTGTTTCCACAAAGATAAGGGAGCAGAGCACATATCACATAGAGGCGAGGATTAATTTGAGCCAGGAAAAAGAGAGAAAATGTTATGTAACAGATGTGTAACGATATGATAACGAAGCCAAGTTTGTATCTCATAATCTTACGGAATTAAATGATGACAAAGAGCCTATAGCCTTCTATTACAATGAACAGTGTATATAATATTGGTACTTAAAATGGATGTCACTGTGGCAATCTTTATTATGAAAATGCATGCACCCTTATTTCCTTTTTGGGAGTAAAACGCTTATTTCTAACATAATTATCTTTAAATTCGAAACTGTAAAAATATGTACTAGATTTTTATTATTGATTTACTTATCTTATGTTATTCTTTTTTCCCTCATTTTAAAAAATTAATTTGCTTAATTCTTCTTCTTCTTCTTCTTCTTCTTCTTCTTCTTCTTCTTCTTCTTCTTCTTCTTCTTCTTCTTCTCCTTCTTCTTCTTCTTCTATCTCATCCTCTTCTTATCATTGTCTTCTTTTTTTCTCCTTCTTTTCTTTCTTCTGTACAAAAGTTGTATGTTAGTAATTATCGACCAATTACTTTATTATCCTCCTGTTAACTTTTAAAAAACTCGTAGGCCTAACATTTTTTTCCAACTTTCAGTTTGGATTTAGAGAAAAACATTATTGTATAATACAGAACATGCCTTATTGAATTTTGTTGACAAAGTAGCCCCCCCCCCCCCCCGCACTCAGTGCTAATTATAGGGTATATTATGCATGTTCCCTCCCTTTGAAAGCACCCCCCCCCCCCCCCCAAGTCCAAGTCAACACGGGCCGATTTTGTATTACGAGCCGTGAAAAGTACCCTTTTACCGGAGATTGTGGGAACATGAATGCGGTCCCTCCCGGAGTGGGGGGGGGGGGGGGGGGGGGGGGGAGTAGCGCATGCTTTAGAAAAATGCTCTCATCATTCTGGTTGGCATCTTCCTGGACTTCTCAAAGGCCTTCGGCACCATCAATCAAGACATCTTATTATTCAAACTTTCTCATTATGGGGTGCGTGGGAAGGCTTTGGGAATGGTTCAGGAGCTACTTATCCAACGGACGACAATGCGTATTCTTAAATGATATACTTCCAATATGGAAAACCAGGGGCAGATTTAGGGAGTTGCCTCTTGGGCGGCCAAGTGAAGAAAAGAAAAAGGGGGGAAGAAGAAAAAAAAAGAGAAGAAAAAAGAAGAAAAAGTATAACATTAAAACGGCGCGATTTTTGGAAAATCCTGGATCCGCCACTGGGTCAAACCCCCCTCTTTGCAAAAAGCTAGATCCGCCCCTGAAAACGTATTATTGTGGAGTACAACATAGAAGTTATTTGGCCCCTTTATTATGTATTATTTATATAAATGACTTTTGTAAATCATCCGATGTCCTTTCCTTTATACTTTTTGCAGACGATTCTAATCTATTTTGTTCCCATAAAAATACACATACCTGTAGTCAATGTTGTAAATTCTGAACTTGAAAAAGTCACCCTACACGGAGCATAGCTAATAAACTATCCCTTATCCTCCCAAAAGTAATTCTATAGACACACTGCCCATGGATATTATTTGTGACGATACCCCCTTGGAAATTGTCTCATTCATTACATTTCTAGGCATAACTGTGGATAACAAACTTTTGTGGAAATACCATATAATAATAATAATAGCTCACAGTATGTATAATGCGCCTAATACTTTGTTTCTAGGCGCATCATTATTATTATCCCGGTCATCGGTTTCAGCCTTGATTTTCCACTCCCTGGTGATAATACATGTAAGATCATTTCACGGAATATTGGCATAATAAATAAACCTAAATTTCATTTTTCCGACATCCTCCCTAATCATGCTTTATTCATCTTAAATTTTTTGAATTATGGGATTCTTGCTTGGGGCAATACGCAACAAACTCTACGAAATAGGCTGTTTTTATTTCCAGAAGACGTCTCTCCGTATTATTTACAATTCTGCTATACTCTCACACACAAGCCCGTTATTTGTTAATAGCAGACTATTAAAAACAAATGACCTGTATCTATTTCACTTAGGACAATTCCCCCCCCCCCCTAAATCGGTCATTTCATGATAACGAGTTCCACCCATACCGCTCTTTAGAACTTTATTAGCGAAGAAGTCTTTTATTACATGTATGATGGTCCTAGATGTTGGAATTTTTTAATTGAAGGTATTAAAAATAGTCCATCCCTAAATTCTTTTTAAGAAAAAAAAATTATTTTTGCTCTAATCTTATAATTAGATACAACAATAATCTGATAACAGTTGGTAATCATCTTGATTTTTCATTTAGGTCTTCATCATCTGCTCGATTAATTTGATAATTATTTGGTCCTATGATCTTACCTTCCCAAAATCACCAATCTTCGGTCATGATTATTTTGTCCTGCTACTTCCTTCTTCCTTCTTCTTTTTCTGTTTTCCTTCTCCTTGTCGTTTTGTGGTTGTTTGTCGTTTTGCAATTGTGTCTTTTGTTTTTCAAGTACGGTAGGCACAATTTGAAACAATTTCATTTTTTCTGGGGGATCCACAAACTACAAGCATTGCTTTTTAGTGGATTCCTCAATTTACTCAGAAATTAAGAATTTCTTGTTATAATTGTATTATGTGTAAAGTGTATGTATAGTTACCAAGAGAAAATGAATATGTACGTACACTTTTTGTCATACTTTCTGCAATAATATATGTAATACCTTTGTTTATCTTTCAGTTGGAAATGAAATAAATATGAATTGAATTGGATTGAATTTGATGGCGATTTCTTTCTCTAATGAACCATTAGTTTACCACACCCCTCCACATCAGTATTATTGCCATGATGTGTCTTGAAGCACAGCATTCTCGTTTCTTTGTGCTTTGACCATTTAAATGCAATTTTTAGAGAGAAATACCTTAATAAATCTCTGGATTACAGAGTGCGACTAGTTGTGCCAAGTTTTTAGGGCGACCGAAAAATGGTTGGACCGCCCTCTTTCTTTCGTGGCGCTTTAGGTTTTGATGAGCCGGTCTAATTAGGGACTTTTAGATTTGCGTGGACTGATACGTGTGACGTCCATTCAAGGCAGTGGATTAAAAGGATGTCGATCGTAGAAATCCACGTTGTCGTTGTGCAAATCTAAAAGTCCCTAATGCCCAGCGTGTGAGGACGACAGCTCTTCTAAAATACAACCGAGGCAAAGATATCAGCTGATGATCATTTATTATTTGTGGGGAAAATAAACTGACAAAAAGACATTTTTAAAAGGCAAAGAAGATGGATAATTTTATTTATTAATATGTGACATACTTTTTGGTTGAAGTCTATGGTGAGATGATCATGACATATTTTCTGGGTTATAGGATTGCAACTTATAGAGATGACCACGACAAAATCATTCGAAACTTTTATAGGGCTCCTTTCTAAATCATGATCAAAGGGAAACAAAGCAGACAAGAATCCCCATAGTGTATGTTGTGGAGATAAACGAGTTTCATTCTTTCAAAAGGAAAATATACTGACATTGTCATCTTAAATATGTAAATTATACACATCTTGCATGAAGGGAAAGTATTTCCAAAACTTGTGTTTAGAAACTAGGGCTAACGTTGATTTTGTAATAAACCCTTTCTGTTAATTCTCCCATCTGATTGTTAAGAAGCAGGAATAAATTTAATCAAGGATTTAATAGGACAGGGGTAATACGAGCTTCAAATTCCATTATCCATTGCTGGAAGACAAGTATGTCGAAAGGCACAGCAGACAATAGCACAGGTTTGCCGATGAATTAGTGGTATTTGTTTTGGCGGGCATGTGGTTTGCCCCTAGTAGCACCCTTTGTCGTCTCTAAGAAAAACGTCGGTGTTTGAGATGTTGGCGTTTCTTTTGGTTGTTTCCCGCGATCTGTAATTGTCTTCATCAAGTTATTTGTATTTTGTAGACCCTAATAAGAGAATAAGAGAAACAGAGAAAGGGCCTTTGGGAAGGAGGGAGAAGCAAGGAGTGAGTGATAGGGAGAGACTCGAATTATTCTAGATTTCATTACGTAATATAGATTGGAGGATGACTTCAATGATTGTTGGCAAAACATAGACTCGGCCTGAAGGCTCCTCAAACACCACCACCTACCCCCAATCATGCCAATATAAGGATCATGATGGCTCCGGGGCTGTATTTAGAAAGTATTTGTTGACCGAGTGGACGGCCGTCGTCGATACCAAGAGAAGACATTGCATCTCCTTTAGTTGATAGTCGACTAACTGATTGAGGAGTTGTGAACTGTTTTCAAAAACGGCAATGAACGGAAGTGCAATTTTTAAGAACTCATCATCAGAATTTACTGTACAAAGCAAATCTCCTCTGAAGCAAAATCTCTGATGCAAGAAAGTAATCACCTCGGATATGCTTCTTTGGAAGCATTTTGATGGAAGCCATGCAAGCACTTTGTTTACCAAACTCATGTCTTTTGGAGGATTCGTTAACGCTGATGAATTTCCATCATTACCAAGGAAAAGATAGTTTACGTACATCCCGCCCAATATGTAGTTAATCCTATACGGACCAACTAATGATTCAAGAAATTAATTACTTCGGATATGCTCATCTTTTTGGAAGCTTTGCAATTTGATGGAAACCATGCAAGCACTTTGTTTACGAAACTCAGGTCTTTTGGAGGATTCGTTAACGCTGTTGTATTTCCATGACTACCACGGTAAACATATATTTCGTACATCCCGTCCAACACGAAGTTTATCTAATCATACGGATCGACTAATGAATCTTCATCGTTGAAATGTCATCAGAATCAAGAAACTAAGTTCCTTAATGAAACGAACTGCCGACGGA